TTCATGTGCTGGGTAATGCCTTCTTATGGCTGGTGGGATGCACGCAGGAAACAACGGCCAGGGTGGTTGCGTCTGAACTGGCCGAACTAGGAGCGGCTTGACCGGCTTCAGGTCGATGGCGAGCGGAAACATCTCCGATCATCGTGCCTACTCAACAAGTCTATGGCTTGGACGTGATGGCGGACCTCCTTGACGATGATGCAGAGCGCCGGTGTGGATGACAGCACGCGGACACCTGCAGAACGCGTCGCGCAGAAAAGCAACAACAACGACGTCAACAAAAACATAGACTAGCTAATCGCCGACGTAAGAATAGCTACGGCAACCCTCACAATTTCTTGTGAAGCCACCAACAGGTCGGCCATCAACGATTCTCCACGACAAGTGAGGATGATCCTGTCTCTACACATGGCCATGCAATCTCTTATCGATTGCAGGCTCCTGAGAAATGAAGCCATGCAATCATTCCGCGGCGCAATCAATGGGCACAGCATGTCTCCCGCTCGCTTGTTTCTAGACCGGTGATCAAACGAGGCTCTACCCCTCAATTCACGCGTTCCTGACAGGGATGCCGCTGCTCCGGCCGTCCAAGGTTTTAGCTCTGGGACGTAACACGCACTGGCACAGAGCACATGCGACACGCAGCTTAAGGATCCGCGAGTCCGCTGTTTTTCCAACAGGAATACCTTCGTGAACTTCCTTCTTCATCCCTTTGCATACCTTCGCTTTCGTGTATCTGTGCGCGCTTCTGTTCTTTGCCCCATCTATCCATATATACCTTTGAACAGAGTTGACCTCCCTTCGACACTGCCGCAATTTACTCGAAGCTGGTCTACATCACGAGACTTTTGTTGAGCTCTCGCCTCCACGCAAGCCCGCTGCATTACACGTCATCCCCTCTAATTCGCAAGCCGACCCTCAGAGCCAACATTCGTTGACGTACCCCCAAATCCAACTACATTCCTTACATTACCCTTCCCAAGGACAGCTGGTTCTTTCTACACCAATCTGCCTTGTCGGACTCCACAAACTTCACCTACTCAACCAACGGGAAGTTACATCATATCGACTGCCGGACCAAGAAGCAAATACTACCATCACAACATCAGACTAATCACCAATCTACTTTCCATCGCTACCACTCCGAAGGACCAACCCAACAGCCAAAATGCCTTCCCCAAGCCGCACCAACCGCTTCCAATCCTTCACTCCCCTCCGAAGCACATCCGGATCCCTTCGTCGTCTTAAGACTGCCTTTAGCCCAAACCGCAACTCAATGCGCTCCGCCTCGCCATCATCTATTATTTCCTCAAGCACTACGCCTCTGACCCGCAACTCTTCGCCACACAGCCACCGCTCCTCAGGCTCATCCATCAGGCAACTGCTCGCCGTCCGTCGCAAGCCTAGCATGTACGAGTTCGAGATGGAAGAGGAGAAGCACTTGTTTGAGCAAGAACTCGATGTCCTCGAGCCACGACCTAGCATGGGCCGCGGCACAAGCGAAGTCCACGTCGTCGGCATCTTTGAGGTTCTTGACGGCAAGTGCTAGTTTGGCCCATGTCATGTTTTGCATGTGTTTATGAAAGCTTAATGGGCGCGTTAACCATTTGGATTCTTGCTCTTCAATTCGTTTAGATTGGGTCTATCACGGCAACGGGGACAGTGGCGTCAATTCTGGGTTTCTTTGAACATTTACCCGCCTTTGGGAATGTTGGATTGGTGCCTTTCTTATACCCCAATGGACTGGATTGGACTGGGGCTCTGGTTGGGTTCTTCATCATGTACCATGGAGATTATGAATATGAACAGACTTTCTACCAATGACTTATTACTCTGCTACGTGTGCGTCTTGCTTCTGTTCTTGTGATACCCATACGATATAAGGTAATGCCCTGACACTAGCCACTTCGGCCTTTGGCGTTGTCTGAAAAGCAATATGCATGGTCGATCTCGGGTCTATTTGACGTCACGCAAGAGACGGCAATCGTGAGCATGATGGACCCGTCGATAGGCGTCGCAGTTTGTACATGTCATGAGTACGGTATGTGTCGAGGTAGATCATAGTAATGACATTGGTATTTCAAAAAGCAGTCTCAAATGTACCTGCCGTGCAACTTCAAACGCCACGCCAATGCATACGGTCAGCGACCTTCCACCATTCATCCAATAATATCAAAACAAGGGCTTGAAAAAAACATATGCCCACGAAACCGCTTAATATACACCATTGACAGGCTGCTGCAAGTCATCGAGCTCTTCCTTCCTCTTCCTGTACAGCTCTTGTGCTTCCCTCTCCCTTTTGGTAACAAACTGGACTTCGTTGCGCAAGCTCTCCAATCTACGTGCAATCGCAGTTTGCTCACTGTATTGTGCCGTCCTCGCTGTGTTCAAATCATCTCTAGCTCTCTCAAGTGCTGAAAATGCGCCACTGATCTTCTCACGTAATAGGTTTGACCGTTTGACATATCCTGCGTGGTGTGTAGTCAAGCGCTTCTCGATCTTGTTCGCACGTTCTGCTGCTTCGATGATGGACTCTTGCGCATTGTCAAAAGCTTCGACAAGAAGTTGGTGCTCGTCGATTTCGTCTTCCTCGTAGCCCGCAATGCCGGGCAGAATTTTCGAACCGTGAAGCGTGGTCCACGATGTATTGAGGTCTGCGTGGAAGGCCTTCTTGTCTTTGTCGGTGGTCATCGCAAGCTCAAGAGCAAGCTCCATCTTAGCATTCCGTAAAGCATCGTCCGTCATGGATTCAACTCGTTGTGCTGTACCGGTAACCCGGCCATCTCCAAACTTCTGGACGTCGTTGGCAATGAGCTTGGCCATTTCGATCTCGATTTCGCGTTCGACGGGGTCGGAGAGGTCCAGCGCGCGCTTCATTAGCACGTCGATGTCGACTACTGATGGCCTTGGGAGGAACTTCTGCACGACTTGCGTCTGCCTGCCGAACTCTGCAGCTTCTTGGGCTTCGCGCGCCTCCCGAGCTTTTCGGTCCCGTTCAGCAGCGTCTTCTTCGCTGACTTCAACTTCCATTTGATCTGCTTGCTCTTCAGGAAGTTCAAACTCCCAGCTCTCTTCTTTTGGCTTCGGCAATGCAGCGAGTCTGCTCTTAAGATCTTGACGCTTTGCCTGCTCCCTTAGTTTGATGTCGCGAGGTGTCTGTCCAACCAGTTGCATGCCACTCTCTTCGCCATTCAGGCGTAGGGTGTCACGAGGAGTCCGCATGGGCGTCGCTCCTGGTATCTGTCGCGTAGGTGTATCTCCGACTGCGCCATTGGCTTGTCTGAATGGTGTTGCCATGGGATTTGGCGTCACAATCTGGTGTCGTGAAGCAGGTCCGGACAACGAAGCAGGCGCTTCATCGTCAACGAGATCCGGGTTATCGCCACCTAGTAGAGCGGACTGCGTTTCTGTTCGCATTCGAGCGTTTCGTACTTCATTCGCGACGTAGTCCTCCTCCTTGGGTGCCATGGGTGTACGAATGGGAGTGTTGCCAATCACATTCGAGTAGTTTCCAATCAAGCCCTGAGTCGCCATGTTATCGCTACTGCCTGCAGAGATTGCGCGTTGTCCCGTCGTTCCCATCTTGACGATATCTTCCAGCTCAGCTTCTCCGACCTGTGGAGTTGGAAGCACAAGAGCGCGGCGCTTGCTGCTCTGCTCTGCTTCCCGTATTCTCTGTGCCTGTGCGGCCTTCGCATACGACGCAGCAAGACCTCCTGACTTGTCGTCTTTCTTCTTCTTCCTGTCACCTCCCCCGTCCTCCTGTGACTCCATCTTTCTCTTGTTTGCAAGTTGTTGCTTTCGCGGATCGAAGGCCTCTCGTTGTTGTTCGTTGCGGTCAATTTCCTCGGTAGTATCGAAGAAACCAGCGGGAACTTCCTTCTCGAGCGGTACGTCGGCGTTGTAGTCGATGTGATTGCCTTTCTTCGGGGTGATCTTGATGTTGATACCAGCCGCTTTCAGTTCTCGTCGCTTCTGAAGCAGGGCAAGCCTTCTTGATTCCTCCAGTTGCCGCTCGCGAGCCTTCCGCTTGGCCTTCTTACCACTGACGTTTGCCAAACGCGCACGCGCCTCTGACAACATCTCCTTGTCTTCCTCATCGATGTCAACCGCATCGGGTCTTGCGGGACGGCTCTCGGCGTATGCGTCGACCTCTCCGGGACGAAGGCGCCGTACATCCTCTGCTGAAGGAGCGGCTGAATCTCCGCCCTCCGGGCCTGCCAGTCCAAGATCACCAGATTCCCTCGCCTCTTGTTCGTCCAACAGCTTTTGGTAGCGCTCGAGACATTGGGTGGCCTAGGTGACGTTAGATGGGTATTTCAAACAAAGGGGACAGTTGCGGCTACATACTGTTCGTCCAACAATGGGCGCAATAGTTCTCCACTGGGTAGGGAGCAGTTTTGCCATGGTCAGAAGCTTTTCATCCTCTTCTCGCGACCAGTCTGTCTTCCGGATGGCGGGGTCGATCCAGTTTGTCCAGCGAGATTTGCATTGTTTGGCGCTCTTCTTGGACAGCAGCGAGGCGCATCGCGACCACTGATTCAGCCCATACTTGCTGATGGCAGCCTTCAGCACCTCGTCCTCGACGTTGGACCAGGAAGATGTGACGACCATTGTGGATGACTTCCGGGGGTTATGGTGGGTTGGCGCGCGTGTCGTGGAGTGATGGTATCCTCAGTCGCGAAACTGAAAATGGGCTGCATGCACTAGCGCCTTGGCAACGTCAAGCACCACGCGGAATGAGCAAAGCGAAGTAAGTTTACGTGTCGACAGGACGAGAAGGAGCGTGTCCGCGAGAACTTGTACTGCCCAGGAATAGCAAGTCGTCGTGTCAGACGTTGTGCACTCATGGTCCATCTACCCAGTCACGGTCCGGGCACTCAGCTTTCACCTGAGTGAGGCGACCGCGGTCACAGTGACGTAAATTCACCGTTTCAATCTTCCTAAATTCCTGTTGCCACGATTTCACTACACACCCTCTTGACCAGATTTCTTCTATCATGTTATCTCTACGGCAAACCGCAGGGCGGCTTCCTATTCGTTTCCTCATCACGCCGCCCTCAAAAGCAACCAGTCGGCAAAGAGTGCCACCAGTTATCTACACCAGAAACTACTCGAGGGCAAAGCCCCAAACCCAAAATCCGGTCAAGGACAGTGCTCAAAAGGCCGATGCCAAGTCTACAGAAGAGATAAAGCCTAAAAAGAAAACGCAAGCTGAGCTCGACGCGGAAGTGATGGCAAAGCTGGCCGGGCACGACAGTGAGGGAGGAGAAGCCGGCATCGAATATGAAGATGGGAAGCCAGCGTCCATGAAGAGAAGCGTGAAGAACAACATGTTCAGATACATATGATTCAGTATCGTCCCGAAGTCTTAGCTGAATACGGTGCAAGCGTTCACGAGGTATATATTTTTCGTAGTGTGCCTTAGCCTCGTATAGACTAACACCCATAGACACAGCAGCCATGAAATTTGCGATGCGCATCTCAGGTCAAGAGGTTTGATGGACGTGGTTGAAACCACCATTCTGCTTGTGCAGTACATGAAGCTCAGACAGGAAACCTCATGCAAGTAGTACGACGACTGAGACCATACATGGTCCAGGCGACTATTGTATAGGCCCCTGAAGCCCTAGAACCAGCTGCAATCTGTAATTATATCTAGTGAAGCAAGTCAGTAATTAGTTCGCTTGGAAACAAATCTATAGTAGCATTGTGGCCATCCTCCGCTGACGGGAGAGGTTGCGCAACCATCGTAGTCGAGTAGCGCTGGGTCAGATTGCTGACATATGGGGCATCCTGTACGGCGAAATGCTACATAACAGCATTTGATTCTTGGTCCTTTGAACGTCATTATGCAACATGAACTGTTTGGTACCACGCGGTAGATCCAAAGTCGCCAAATCTAATATTTGCCTACGTCATGAGTTACCAACCTAACAACATCGCGACTCACGTCCAACATCAAACCCCCACAACACAACACTTGTAAGATCTTTCTGTTTCTCGTACCAGTAAACAACCATGGAGCACTATGCCCCTCACTCATCGTCGCAATTCGAAGGCTACTACTCCAAATTCGACCTCGCATCTGGCGCGCATATTGCTCTCATCATATGCTCCGTGCCTGATGCGTCCTCACGCCCGCATATGGTTTCATTTACCTACTACCCTTCCTCTGGTCACCCAATATTCCAGCGCGAACATTTTGTTGATAACATCGAGCGCGTGACAACTGATGAGAAGAGCAAAGCGTTCGAGCTCCGGGTACCAGGCATAGGATTCATGAGGACCGAGGGTGATGGACGCACAAGCTACAAGCTGGAGGGCGAGGACGGAAGTTGGAAGCTTGAAGCGCAATGTGAGGAGTATACCGCGTGGAGAGAGGACAAGAGCACGCCAGAAGGATGGATGATCAACCTCCCATTTCCGCTACATTGGCACGTACATTCTCTTTGCTCTCCGGCTACGTTCACCCTCGATATACCCGCTCTTGGCGGGGATTTCCCAACTCAAGATAGGAAAAGCCGCGCTACGATTCATCAAGAGAAGAACTGGGCCAACAGTTTTCCCGATGCACATATGTGGGTGCAAGCCTGGGACAATGATCAAAAACGCGGTATTTGTCTGGCTGGCGGAAAGATCATGTACAATACTGCGTATATGCTCGGTTATCGATCCCCATCTCTCAACCTCGATTTCGTACCACCCTTCTCGGTATCTTACCTGAACCTTTTTAGCCCCTTCATGAGCGCCACGAATGACTGGGACACACGCTCTTTCTCTATATCTGTATCGAACTACTTTCACAAACTGGAGCTCAAAGCCCATGCGCCAAAGGAGCCGGGCTGGTTCGGCCTAGCGAGCCCATTTCCAGATGGCCATCGGGCAAACTTCTGCAAGGAAAGTTTTATTGCGACGATCGAAGCGAGAATTTGGGAGAAGGAAGGGTGGTGGCCGTGGAGTGCGTGGAAGGAGGTCAGGACAGAGAAATGGGAGGGCGCGAGTCTGGAATTTGCAGGAGGATACTATCCAGAGAGGGGAGAGACCAAGCAGGACTGAAGACATAGGGGCTGAGGCAAGTACATTAGTGGCATACAGTCGGTACTTAATTATGATATCAATGTGTCTATGGTTCGAACAGAACGCCTCCAAGATTATCCTGTGACTCTATCGTATCTCCGATGGATTGGGTTTCAGAGCTTCGACTTCCTCTCCTTTGGCTTGAACAACCTATCTAACTCTTGCACAAAGCGCTCAGGCAACACTGTTCTCTCTACTCCTTGCTTTCCTTCCCATTCCTCCTCCGTTAGGCGTTCCCAATCCCAGTATCTCTTCATCTCTTGACTGACCCACTTGCTGATATGATCCGCACTCTCTTCTACTTTCTCCATGGGTATCAGATGCCCCGCACCTTTCACCATGACATTTGCTACCCGTCCTTCTGCGCGTCCGCCGCTACCATTTACACCAGAGCCGGTCAAGCGCATCTTATCCTCAATGGCTTTGTCGTCAGTCAGGAATGAAAGTTCGCCAAAGATGTAGAATACTGATGGCCGGATTGAGGGTAGTTGGTTGAAGACAATGGTGGATTCGCCTCGGTAAAACGGTGACTGAAGGCTGGCGGTGGGTGTCATGTCTGCATGCGTCCTCCTGTTAAGCTTCGGATTGGTCAATGTGAACTCTGCAGAGGAAGGCTCTTTATCCCCAGGTCTGGCAGCCAAGTTCGGTCGCAGGAATGTCATGACCTCCTGATGCTTCGTGGTGGTCAGGGTGACCTCGGGCTTCTTTGCATCAGGGAACAATTTTGTTGGTACATCTCTTAATCCATACTGCACCCATAGGTCTAACACCCGCGGGTCCCACGCCTGGTAAAACTTGCTCTTGCTGAAACTCTTGGCGGCTTCTTCTCGTGATGACCAGAGCTCACGTCGTCTTGATGATGCAGCAGCTGGCCCAACATTGCCGTTCAGTGAAACCTGGCCTTGGATGACAGGGTCGACGAGGATCAGGGTTTCGAAGAGACGGGGATGCAAGAGGGCGAGATTGGCAAGTTGGCAACCACCCATGCTATGGCCAACACCGATTATGGGGCGAGGCATTTGATCGCGGAAGAGATTCACCATGTGCAGGAGATCTCTGCTGTGGTCAAGCCAGGCCGCTATGGAATGTCAGTGTGTAACCTTGTACTTGAAAAGATGTACGTACGGTCGTTGCCTAACTTATCTTCGTTCAACACGCTGCTCCAGCCTTGATGCACAACATCGGCTATCCATATACCTCTGATACCGAAGCCATGTTGCTGGCTCTTGTTTAGGAGTTCATCCCATAGTGGTTCATAGAGTTCTTTTGGAAATCCATTTGCATGCGCTGCGATGATAGTAATGTCTCCGGGTTTGGGGTTGGTGTTGCTGAGGGGTGTGTACTGCTTGACGGCTAGATGAAGGACTTCTTCCTGCTTGGTAGCTGTGGAGCGCGGCCAGCCACGGATGTGCGATGCCTCTACTTTATGCTCCTCTATGCGAAAGTGCTTCGAAGACATGTTCTTGCCGCGCGTAGATGCAATCAGGCTAAACGTATAGGGTTGACAAGACAATGCGAGTGACGAGCACGTTTAAGTCACGGTACCTGTTGTGTGCAGAAAGTTGAGATGAGAGGATGATACGCCTAGATAGCAAGGAGATGTCTATGCTTACGGGTGTGTCGTGATCAGTAGCCGGCGTAATCTGGGGAAGACTGCCGAGGTCCACCACGGCTTCTCTTCTCCCCACAACCTCGACATACAGACAGACGACTGCGGTATGGATGCGCTCTAGATATGCTTTGTGTAGCGAGGCCAAGTTGCGCGTCTCTCATGGCACACATGGTCCATCGGAAAGAGAGTAGTCGGGCCTGAGCTGCGACGTTATGACGAAATCAGCGTCGGAGTGTTTTGGTGGGGTGTCACGTGGACTTTGACGCGTTCGTGGCTTCCAAAGTTCGCGTTGACCCATGTCGCATCGCGCCTTTGGAGATGAGTGTTGGCGGCCACCAAATCTCCACACCATACAGCACAACATCCCCGACGGCAGCCATGGAAGACACTACCATGCTAGAGGGCTCACAGGGTCTGTTCGAGGAGCTCACCTTCACCCTCATTCCCAATGGTCTCTCAGAAGAAGGAATGCGCCAGGTACGCGACGCGTTTGGGCAATGGAGAAGTGGTACTAACGAGTCAAACAGATCGAGGACGATATCAAATCTGCTCACGGAACCGTCGTACCCTTCAGCGCACCCAAAGGCCGTATAGAGAAGCTAGAGGAAATCAGCTACATTGTCTCCGAGACAGCCGACTTCCCCGACTACTACCGCGCCCTCGATCTCATGATACATGTCGTCAAGCCAACATGGATAGGCGCGTCGCTCCAATCCAACAAAGCCAAGAATCCGCGGACATACAGTCCCGATCCTGCATTCATCATGAACGACGTGGTCATATGTTGCGGGGATATACCGAGCGGAGACAAGGAAGCAATCGAGGGCGGTGTGCTGGCACTGGGTGGGCAAATCGCACCAAGTCTCTCCAAATTTGTGACACATCTCATTGCACTCGACGTGAGTGAGCCGCGATGCCAGCTCGCCATCAGTAAGCGGCTGCAGCTGTCCATTGTGCTACCACACTGGTAGGTTCGGCGTCGAGCGCCTGGTAGTTGACTCCATCTAACACTTGCAGGTTCGATGACTGCCTCAGAGTTGGCCGCCGAATATCAGAGCGACCTTACACGCTCCCCAACCCCGAGATTCTCGCCGATGCGGAACCAGGCTCGATTCCTCCAACACGAGTGAGCCAGCAGATTCGAGATGCAACCACACCAGATCCTCACCACGACCCCGTGCCACCACCTGCTCATCTAGAAGCACCCCGTGCAATCAAGGCTTTTGACGGAAAGAGTGTAAAGCTCGGCGACGATTTGAACATAAGCAGCCGACTCAAGGCTATCATCACCGGCATGATCAAGGCTGGAGGCGGCAGTGTGACCTCAAACATCGATGAAGCAGACATGTATGTTTGCAACTACCGAGAAGGCCCCGACTATATCAAGGCTTCACAAGCACAGAAAGACGTGGGCAATCTGGGCTGGTTGTATTATCTTATTACCCACGGAATCTGGACGAACCCTATGCAGCGTATGATGCATTACCCACGGCCACGACAAGGCATTCCCGGCTTCGACAACTACAAAATCAGCATATCAAGTTACACTGGTGAAGCGCGGGTGTACCTGGAGAATTTGATCAAAGCTACAGGTGCTGAGTTCACCAAGACATTCAAGCAGGACAACACACATCTTGTCGCTGCGCACAAGAACAGCGAAAAGTGCGAGGCTGCGACAGAGTGGGGCGTGAACATTGTCAATCACTTGTGGCTAGAAGAAAGCTATGCCAAATGCAGAGAGATGCCTCTAACTGAGAGTCGCTATACGTACTTCCCAGACCGGACCAACCTGGGAGAGGTCTTAGGACAGACTGAGATCGATCGCGAGGCTACCGAAAAGATCTTCTACTCAAAACAAGCAAAACCAGCAAAAGCTGTCAAGGCAGCACCACAGACCAACGCCATCCCAGCTTCGAGTGTAGCGCCAAGGGCAAGCGAACCCCCAGCACCTCGTAGCCCGCCTGTGGCTGAGAAGGCCAAGCGTGCGAAGCCAGGAAGCAATGCGCAAACGCCATTACCACCGCGACATACCGATGGAAAGGAGAACCAGACACCAGGGAGTCGAGGAGCGAAAGACCGCGCATTGTCAAAACTGCACAATGCCGCACCAGATATTGCACAGTTCGAGAAGGAAATGAAGCGCAAAGGCGGCGTCATACATGGCGGACGCAGACGCACAGAAGATCAGGTTGACGAAGGGACGAAACAATCAAAGGGCGGCCGTGATTCAGTTTCAAGCAAGCGTTCTATCGATGAAGTCGACGATGATGACGAGACCGAAGACGAAGCTACAGAGGTTCCAGCAAAGAACAAACGAGCAAAGAAGGACAAGCTTGCGCCCATCAAGTTTCGTATGCTTATATCAAAGGATGAACGATGGGCCAACAATCCTGAAAAGGAATCAAAAGACAAAGCGCGCCTTCGAGAGCTCGGCCTCTTCATCACAGATGATTTCAAAAAAGTGGATATGGTTTGCGCGCCACAGCCCGTTCGGACGAAGAAGTTCATCGCAGCACTAGCCTGCGCGCCTACCCTTGTGTCAACCACTTACCTCGACTTCGCCCTCAAGAACAACAAGCTTCCACCGGCAGAGAAACACCTCCTCCAAGCTAGAGACTTTGAAGAGGCCAACAACTTCCGACTGTCCGAAGCACTCGAGCGAGCCAAGCAGAACAAACACCGCCTACTCAAGGACTGGACCATATTCTGTACAGAGAAGGTTGGCGGTGGTTTCGAAACATACAAAGACATTGTGGAAGTCAATGGCGGCAAGTGTGTGCTATGGAAGGGTCGCCCTACTACAGTATCTGCATCCAAGCGCAAACTAAACGCCTCCGATGAAGTTAGCCAGAACCAAGTCGAAGATGAAGGAGACGTACTATATCTTATTTCCGACGCAGATAAGAAGGAGTTTACCAACTGGACCAAGTTCCGTGAATTGGCTAAGAGGGAGAACATGGTTCCCCGTATCGTCAAGACGGAGTGGCTGCTTTCTGTGGCGATGGCGCAGTATGTCCATTGGGATCCGGAGTGGGAACTGAGTGAAGAGGTTGTCAATGCTGGGAAGAAATAGTAGTTGCATATTTGGTATCTCTTACGGCTGATGACGGGTCAGAGCGACAGGCGTTCAGTTACTGAGATCGGAGTTTCACCACTGCATACAGACGTCGATTTGAGTGGTCTTGAGATAGGGAGCATTTGTCTGATAAACTTTCGAGCGAGATTGCGCATTGTTTCGCATGGCATTGTTAGCGATGGGATAAGGACGGTAGCATGTGCATTGGCTTCTGTGACCTTCAATATTACGGAGACTCCGTGTTGATTGGTTTGTTACATACACGCATCTCAGCTTTCCGGTCTTCTTCGCCACTGTAATCTAATATGTGGCTGCGCATCCTCTTCTTGCTTCATGTCATACATTCTCGTTATAGTCAACATATCCCTTGTGGTGATTCTACATGAACCGAGATTGTAGTCGTGCGTACGGCACGGTGGGGTCATGCAAGAGGTCTATGTGCCACAGTGATCCTTGGTGAACCGGGCCGCGATTCTGCGTTTAGGCTGTGGAGCGAGTGGTGGGATCTTACCTGCAAGACAGCTGCTGCCTTTACGTCATATGAAGAGAGGGTGATCGAGAGTGATTGGATTTGCGTCAGCTTGGAATGCAAATCGGAAGAAGGATGATTCATTGTAGACGCAGAAATCATTCGCTGTTTTCCACTTTCACGACCAGGGCTTTGGTGCTCCAGAACGCAACTAACGGCACCAACTTAATTTTACAACCAGTATAGGCCCATCGCGTGTGACGTCATTTAATCTCATGCGTCTCATTTGATAATTGAGACCATAAGCTTCTATTGGGGCTGGAGATCGATGCGCATCGCTAGTGCTCACTCCGAGCGAGCCGAGAAACCAACGCATTCAGCGGAAACCAGGCAGCTGGGGGAAAAGGTCTAGGAGCAGAAGCAGTGTAAGCCAGACCCATCGCACTTAGCGAATCGACTGCTGCTTAGAAGTCTTGCATAGTACGGAAGTGGACAATGGACTGGGCAAAGGGGCGGGATCTTTGAACTTGTCTAATTGAAGTATATTGGCTTTTCGCAAGAATAGAGACGAAGGCTGTTGTAAGCTCGACTGCGCGGTATGACAATTGCAGGAGCGCGAATGGGGTATATAGTGATGCTTATAAGAAGTATCACGGGATGGTGAGAAACTGAAATGCAAATAGAAAGAAGAAGAAAAAAGCGGAACCATCAGCTCGTCTGAAACCCATAGCCTGATAACTAACCATGTCTCTAATCTGACAATGTGTGAACGATCTTCGGAATTGGCGGCATCGCGATGTTTGTAGGCGTCGACTCGTAGTATCGTGCCCGTTGGCTTGCCGTGCTTGTGCTGCGTGCGCGTCCTGATGGACGTACACCCAAATCGCCCCCATCGCCACTCGATGATGTCGGACTCAGCACAGGACTCAGCATCGGGCTGAGCACCATAGTACTGAGGGTTGCATGGCTTTGTCGGCTAACAGAACTCACACCCGTACCAGAGCTCTCCGTGTTGTCACCAATCGGGTCTCTAACCTCCTCCGCTGGCGTGACTTGTAGCGGTACGAGGTTCATAGTCTCTGTGCTTGACCTCTTGTTGCGAGCTTCTGTTTCTGAGTCGACGTATAGTGTAACGCTGCTCGCTCGGACACGACTGAACATGCTTGTCTTGTCCTCGTTCGCCAAGAGCCCTGCTGTATCGGATTTGCGGTTGTCGAGCTTCTTCTTTTCGTTCCTTCGGTGGAGCCAAAAGACAAGTGATGCAAGGCAGATGGCTAGGAAGATAAGAGCGAAGACGGCGGTGAGGGCGATGTTGGCTTTCGTCCAATAACCTGAATCAGGCTTTGGATTCTGGTCTGTCTCTGCGACGAGATTGTTGTCCACCGGTATAGGAGCCATGATGATGTATATTTGTGTGGGCCAAAGGGTCTCTGATATAGATTCGGTTGGTGAGACTTCAGATTGTAGATGAAGCTTTCCAGGTACTTGTAATGCTGGTGATAGGAGGTTGAGTGGCAGTGTGACAAGGATAAGACAGTTGCTACGCCTCAGCAATGTGTTGCTCTAACGTTACAAGAGTGTTGATATGGACCTGATTAAGGAATCCCTTCTGTACTGTGAACTGATACCGGGGACCAGGCAGACATATGTCTGCGTAAAATGAAACCTACTACGCATGGACATGTTCTGAATCTGCACCCATGGCACTGGATCGGTGAGAAGGCGCCCAATATGCGGCTCGTAAGTGGAAAGAGATGCTCAGCCTCAACACGTTGTGGGGAAATAGGCCAACAATTCGGAGAGAGTCACTGCGCCCCTGTCAGCTTGGCAAAAGAAGAGACGCCTGACGAGTTGCAAGCGTAGAAAACTGTTGTCAAAGCTTGGACTACCGCGTCTAACGGAGAAGTAGGAAAGAGCTGTGTAGCACACGGTGGTGGCACATGCTCATAGAAGATGGTGCCGGGCATGCATATCGAAGCCCATTCGTTGCCATTTCAGTTGAGAAGAGTTCTCTACCGCGTGTGAGCCACATCTGGACAGTGGTGCCCTTTTCGTCACGCAGCTGAAGCTATACATTCAGCTTGTGGAACAGCAAACATTGAATGGCTGCTCTCGCGGACGGCTCCCCAACCCAACTCTCCACTGCACAGTATCAACTTGAAATCACCAGCCTAGCACGAGAAACTGTAAAGACACGGTGATGTGCCAAAGGATCGTGCTGTAGGATCAACGTTTCGGAATTTAGGCAAGCACAGCCACGTGCGCTAAAAGAAATGAGCAGCTACAGTCACGAATCGACACAAGGCTGAGCGCCTTACAATTCTCTACGTGTCTGCCTGAGCCAAGCTCAAGTAGGATTGGACGGCGACTTGGGGCAAATTGTGGGGTGAGAATAGGCGAACTGGTCATGGTAAAGGAAAGCCATGATGCGAAGTGCTAGCTTCCGCTGCAGTGTGTTGTTGGAAAGATATCGGACGGCAGGTGCTGGTTACTGGACGCCATCATAAAGTATTGCGGCGCCTCTGCGGCGACCATGCGGCGTAGTGGAGCAAGATCCTAATCTTATGCGTGTGTTGGCTGGTGAGTGAACGCTCACTACCAACCAACGAGGGTGGTGTTGAGGACGGCTGGCCACTGCTGGCCTAACAGCGGGACGATGTTGGCCCCCAACTAGCGTCTCGCTTAGATGCTACCATGGTATGTGCTATTTTGGGATCACTTCTAGATGTCACGCCTTTACGGCCAAATCTCGCCTGTTCTTCTGCACGAGACTGTTCATGAAGAGTTTGTGGAAAACTTGGATAGACCCAAGGCTGACTTCGTTGCCGCCACGCATGAGGAACACCCTGAAAGAGAATGGGACGGCATTAAGCCAACTCACGTATTCTTAATCTAACCGTCTTATCGTAAACATCGGGCAGGTCGATACTTCATGGAATCAGTACTCCAAAGGCCACTCATCACTATAGCTGTCAATTGTAGTTTACCTGTTGCGAACGGTCTCTTGTAGGATGGGTGGATTTCTGTTATCTTTTCATGTTCTCTACCTAAGTATCTATTGATCAATTTGTTCACTGGAGAGACCACAATCAAACTGCTGTACGACTTGTCCAAAGCCAACTTTCGCTTGATTGAAACTGTGGACCTTGATCCATTCAGGGCAGACACGCCGCACCTATTCACTTGAATCATTTTTGGAACAACTGCGCATGATAGGAAACTATCTTACGCACCAGCAGTTCCTTTTTCAGTCAGCCAGTGCTGCTCCATTGATCACGTAGCTTGCGACCAGGCACGCGTGACACCATCCCCTCAAGTCCGAGCTTGTTGGCATCAGTAGCCTGGTGACGAATGACTTCAGGTACTGGAATGTCGTCGTGATGGCGAATCTACTCGATAGTAGCGACCTCACTCATGGTCTTGGAAGGCACTTTGTGCTAGGTATTTGACAATGCATAGCTCCGGATTCTCGATCCTTAACTCGTGCTGCATAAGAGTTTTGACATGCTCAGCGGCGAATTCGGTTGTCTATTTGGGTTGCAGTGCTCTGAATGGATTTCCTTCCCAGAGATATCCTGGATTACTTCTCGCATGTGCTTGATAACTTTGGTGTGTCTACCTTTATACCTCGTCTCCTGCATGTTCAAACAAACCCACAGCATGTCACTCTTATGGTTCAGTGCGTAAAAGCAATAATATTCTACTATCGCAAGTGACACTATGGCCTTACGCAAGTGATCCGGGTTCATCTATCAAAGCAACACGAGAAAAGGAAACGACCATGGGTCGTACTGATGATCATAAGCGCCGTTCCATGCAAGATTGACACAAGATTTTGACAAACAAGGAAACAGATTCCCGAGGGATCCAATGCCATTCCACCTATCTTCATTCACCTTTTTTTCTTAATCCAAAGAGAAATTCTCCCTCTTCCAGGTCTCGCGGTACACGGCAATAGTACTGGCAGCGTCCTTACAGCGCTCCGGTGCACGAGCCGGAAGGTCAATGATAGCGCGACGAAGTACGCCACGCGCAGGTACGCCGTAGAACTGGAGAAACTTCTTGTGGTAGTCGCGGATCAGGCCGCTGAGAATGGCAAAGTGTCCAGGCCAAAGTTGCTCAGTGGGTGTGTTGCATATCGAGGAGATGGCGCGCCAGTATTCCGAGATGGCAATCGCAGGCGCCTTAGCGGCGAACGAGCGAAGAGACATTGAAGCAAAGCCTGCTCCGATGCCGCGCATGCGCTGTGAGTACGACTCCGGAGTTGAGTCCTCCTGCCAGCCTAGGCGCAGCCGACCTTCCTTGGTGTCCATAGTACCTCGGATGCCAAACAATGGGGGGCACGCCTTGTGAAGCTTGGCCAGTGCAATGTCAATGAGGGGAAGACCCTGCCACTGGTACTTCTGGTCACCGAACAGACTGGCTGCAATCAAGCCAATCTCTTGGATGATGCGTCCGTCAGTGTTGGCAGCCTCCTTCTCAAACTGCTTTACCAGGAACTTCTCAAAGCAGATCCAGACGTAGAGAAGGAACGCAGGGTAAGCAGCTTCGTTGTCGTTGGCTAGCTGGGGGATTTGGTGTGAAACGATGTATGGTCGGATGTCAATCATAGGGCCTGGAGTTTGTAGAGCGATGTCGAAGCATTCGGTTCGAAGGCGCTTGATGGCGGCAGCGCTATCCTTTCGCTCCACGTTGATCTGACCAAGTCGAGTACGGAGAGCGCGCCGAGCGTCGCCAACCGGGCCCTTCAAGGGCGAAGTCGGTTTCTTGTGTTCCTCCCAGAAAGCATTGCGGAAGGCCTTCATGCGCTGATGGAGTTCGAGATACTTGGCGTGGATCTGTTCGGCGTTATTGGTGGGTGCTTGTGCGTTGGTGGATGGCTTCGGTGCTGCTGCCACCTGTGTGGGTGCGAGGGCGGGTGTAGGTTGTGCAGCGGGCTGCTGCTGTTGTGTTGGTGGTGGTGCTTGCTGTTGAGCCTTCTGTGCAGCAGCCGCAGTGGCCGCAGCCTCGGCAGCCTTCCGGTCAGCGTCCTCCTTTTCTTTCTTCTGCCTCTCAGCTGCTGCTTGTTGGTCCTGCTGAGCTTTGATTCGGGCATTAGCCTCTTCAATTCTCTTCCTGTCTGCGGCCTCTTGACGGGCGGCTTCTTCCTCGCGTTGTTTGGCTTCCAAGGCCCTTCGCTGAGCCTCGGCTTGCTCGCGGGCCTTCTCCTGCTTCAAGCGCTCAATTTCCCTCTTTTGGCTTTCTTCATGGCGTAGACGTGCCTGCTCTTCTTCCAAGGCTATGCGCTCAATCTCGAGCTTCGCGCTCCTAAACACGCGCTCGTGTTCCTCGGCAGCCCAGGCAAGTTGTTGTGCATGGTGCTTGGCTCGTTCCTCGGCGGCTTTGTCGAGCTTCTCGTTAAAGTCTCGGTCTGATATGCTGAGACGGAGATTGAACTCGAGAGCTAGTTGCTTGCTCGGGCTGTCATAGGGGTCGCGGACAAGGGACTCGCGCTGAGAGCGGTGTATGCTTCTGCGGTTCGGCGATTGGCGTGACGGGGAGGCGTCGGCGAAACTGGAGCTGAAGGAAGTTGCAGTATGCATGCTCGAGGATGACGTGCCCGATCTGGCGGGCATTATGGCGCCGGGGTCGTGGTTGCGGTTGGGGAGCTTTTGTTGAAAAGGTGGTTGGTGAGAACGCGACCTTCAAAGAGATCTAGTCTAGTCGGAGACTAACGCAAGCTCCGACTCACGTGACGTCGCTCATCCCTGCAGCAGCTTTCACCGCGCTGCAGTGCTAGCGTACCTGGGGAATCGACATCTGAAGAATCGGCCGATGGTTTCTTTGTCGAGGCACGCAGCACCCATTGCACGCTGACGTAATTGCACCCGTCACTGTCACCCGCCGGCAGAGTAAGATGAGACTGGAGCTTCAAGGACGCCTGAGTCGCGTCTTGGGCAAACGCACCGTGTTGCGCCTTTCATAAAGTTCACAGGATTCGTCTGTGCCCGAGTTTGGTGGGACTGCCGCCAAGCTGCGACGGCGCTGCGTGCACACCCTGGTGCTCTGGTGCTCTTGTGCCCCCAACATGTCCGTTTCACTGACAGAATGTGACAGCTGGGGAAAGATGTGAAATTCACGTCTTGGGGTTTCAGCCATGGCATTGCGAGGGTCGAGTACATGTACTACTCGCTATCGTTCTTGTTGCTGGCTACTGCTGCATGTTGGACATGACAAGCTTCCTGGCCCAACGCGGTGGATCAATATAATCTCCAGACGCGTAGCTGCATGCCACTGTCATGAACCGAGAGCCCTTGCGCCGCGCTCCCGAGGCACTGCAGCGTGTTGTCGTGATTTAGAAACGGCCGCCGGTTAAGGGTGCGTTGAAACGTGCAGACCCAAACGTGATGCTTCACCTGGGGCCCGCTGAGACGCGCATCAGGACAGCTGCTGGCGGTACATATAGAGCGTCGTCGCCTGCAGCGCCTCAGTCCCCCACGGCCCGGCGCTTCCTTGTCTCTATCTTTAATTTGTTACTGCCATTTGCTCGGCGCGGGAAGCTACATCTGGCTTCGTGAGTGACGTACCGGTGCTTAGACCTCTCCCAGGCTCGCTCGTTTGCGGAACAACAGGCGATCGTTGCCCGAAGTGTCCATCTGGCCAAGTCCCGCCATAGCCATCACCACCTGCATTACGCTGACGGCCCTCTTGCCTGTCCTCTCTTCCTGCATCCCTCCTGCCCGCCCTCCTCGATCGCTCCCTCCTTCGAAGCACTCTCTCCGCCCGCATTTTGGTTGTACTGCCCACAACAGCCCGTTCCAGGGAAACCGCGCTCCTTGATCTGGTCTACCCTCCTTATCACTCCTCCTAGGCCAACTTGACATCTGTCTGCACACGACATCCACCCGCTTCTGACTTGCAGAGCAGCCCGACAATCTTCGTCTGGATTATCGTATAAGGGCATATCCTCTTCCTCCCCGAGCACTGCCTAATCCGCACGCTTACCCAACGTGAGTTCTTCCCCACTAGCTAGCTCTCTGGAGCATGTCGGTGCCGACCCTGCAGCTGTCCCCCGTCTTTCACTTGCTTCACTCTCACCCTCTACACCTCCTCGCTCGCTCTCCTCGCTCGCTGCAAATACTGCCTGAACTGTAGATGCTAATCCAATCGTCTAGATAACTCTACTTTTTGACCAATTCGTGTCCGACCGTCTCTTCTCCGACAGCACATACACTGCAAGCGGGCATTAAACCATCCACACTACATTATCCACTATGGATCAGCAACAAGGCCAGCAGGGCCCCATGGGCCCCGCCGGTCGTCGTCTGCACATTGCGCATCGCCGCAGTCCGTCAGAACTGACGCCGCTGATGAGTACGTGGACATGGCTCACGCTAAACGTGGGCATCTGCTAATAGCCCTATAGTGGAGCAGCTCGCCATTGCACAGCAGATCGAGGTCCTCCAGCAACAGCAGCAACAGATTGCCGCGACGCACCAGCAATATGTCAACATGGGCATGATCCAGCCGCAGCAGCAGCTCGGCAACTTCCAGATGCCAGGCCAGATGCCCAATGTCTCGCCCCAAGTCAACAACTACCAGTTCCCCCAGCAGATGCAGCCAATGCAACAACAGCAGCATCTCGCTGTCCCTATGGGCGCACCGTCCCAGCCCAACCCCGCCCACCGCCGCAACCAGTCTGCTCTCCCCCAAGTCGGTATGGGCCCGCCGCCCGCTCCTTCCTCCGGTGCCTCTGGCTTCGGTGAATTTGGTGCACAACAGGGTGGTCAGGGTAGGGAAAATGTCAACCCTCGTGGCCGAGGTGGTGGCAGCGCCGGTGGCTCCGGACACACCCGCCGTCACTCGTTGGCTCTTGCCGACGCGAAGAAAGCAGCTGAACAAGCCGAATCCAAAAGAAAGACTTCAGGCTTCCAGTTCCCCATTCCCGGCTCGACCGAGGGCAGCTCCAACCGGGACGCTAGCCCCAGTGGAAACAGCGCTTCCAATGACACCCCTTCTGCCCGTGGTGGACGAGGTGGTCACGGCCGTAGCCAGAGCATGGCTGTTGGACGTGGCGGAGGAAGTGCCGGCCGTGGTGGACCTTCCTTCTCCTTCCCCGCTACCAGCGAGAACCCCACCAACCAGAACAATGGCCAGCAGTCTGACTTCCAGCGCCGTGGCAGCCAGGGCCATGGCAGGAGCCAGTCTCGCAACTTCGAGGGCAACTGGAGACAGCCCCAGAATAACACCCAGCAACAGCCTACTCAGGACAACCAGTCCCAGAACATGGGCAACTTCAACATGAACCAGACCGCCAATGCCGCTCCTTTCCAGCCTGGTCACCGCACTCGTGGATCGGTCAACCAGTCCGTTGGCTCTCTCGGCAACTTCCAATACGGCGGCCAGCCTCAGATGCAGATCAACTCCCCTCAGGCACAGCTTCTTCTGCAGCAGCAGATGTTCGGCCAACCGCTAAACCCCATGCAGATCGCTCATTTGCAGGCACTCCAAGCTGCCCAGATGCAGGGTGGCGGTCTTGGAGGCAGCCAACATGCACCGCAAATGGGCATGCAGCAACAACAGCAACAGCAGCGCAAGACGCTATTCACTCCCTACCTCCCGCAGGCCACCTTGCCCGCTCTTCTTGGCGACGGCCAACTCGTTGCCGGAATCCTCCGCGTTAACAAGAAGAACCGCAGTGATGCTTATGTGACAACTACCGATTTGGATGCTGACATTTTCATCTGTGGTAGTAAAGACAGGAACCGAGCTCTCGAAGGAGATCTAGTCGCTGTCGAACTTCTGGATGTTGACGAAGTCTGGGGACAGAAGCGTGAAAAGGAAGAGAAGAAGAAGCGCAAGGACAATGCGGACCCTCGCGGCGGTAGTATTGCCGTGAACGATGCCACCACTCAACCTGAGACCGGCTCTGAGGGTGGCATCCGCCGACGTGGCAGTCTCCGCCAACGGCCCACACAGAAGAAGAACGATGATGTTGAAGTTGAAGGCCAAAGCTTGCTCCTAATGGAAGAGGAGGAGATCAACGATGAGCTCAAGCCTCTATACGCTGGTCACATTGTTGCTGTCATCGAACGTGTTGCTGGACAGATGTTCTCAGGGTACATAACTACATCATCATCACTTGGAGTGCTTTACTAATTGTTGCTACAGATCCCTTGGACTCCTGCGTCCTAGCAGCCAAGCCACCAAAGAAAAGCAGGAGGCTGAGCGTCAAGCTCGCGAGGGCAACTCTGGCCGCTCCCAGCCAGAGACTCAGAACAAGCCCAAGATTGTCTGGTTCAAGCCAACAGATAAGCGTGTGCCATTGATTGCCATTCCTACCGAGCAGGCTCCTCGCGACTTCGTCGAGAAGCACCAAGACTACGCCGACCGCATCTTCGTAGCATGCATCAAGCGATGGCCCATCACCTCTCTGCATCCTTTCGGTACTCTTGTCGAGCAACTTGGAGTCATGGGCGACCTTAAGGTGGAAACCGATGCACTTCTGCGCGACAACAACTTTGGTCCAGATGACTTTTCTGACGCCGTTATCAAGAACGTAGGCTTCGAGGACTGGTCTGTTGCCAACGACGGCGAAGAGGCGCTCGAGAGCCGTCGCGACTTCCGAAACGAGGAGACCTTCACCATCGACCCCAACGGCAGCAAGGAGCTTGATGATGCTATCCACTTCAAGTACCTTGACGACGGCCGTGTTGAGATCGGTATTCACGTTGCTGATGTTGCCCACTTTATCAAGGCCAACTCGCTTGTTGACCGCGAGGCCAAGAAGCGTGGAACTGCGGTCTACCTCATGAATCGCACAGTAAACATGCTTCCTCCCCGACTGTCGAACGACATTTGCTGCCTCAACCCTGGCGAGGACCGCTACACGGTTAGTGTTGTCTTCAAGGTTGATCCCAACTCTGGCAAGATCTCAGATGATGAGACCTGGGTCGGCAAGGCTGTGATCAAGAGCTCTGGAAAGCTGTCGTACGACGAGGTCGACACCGTTATCAACGGTAACGACGGTGCAGTCTCGGCAGCCCGTGCTAAGGACATCAAGATGCTGCATCACATCTCTCAGAAGTTCCGCCAGGCTCGCTTTGGCGACCGCTCTAGCGACGTAAAGGCTCTGCGTCTCATGTACCAGCTGGACGACGAGAACGTTCCTGTCGAGCAGAACATCTTCGACTCTTCCCCTGCCCACGAGTGCATTGAGGAGCTCAGTCACCTCGCCAACGCCTTTGTTGCGAAGAAGCTTGCCACTGGCCTGCCCGAGAAGGCTCTTCTGCGCCGTCAACCATCGCCTAACCCCCGCCGTTTGACTACAATCGCAGAACGCATGGGTGCCATCGGCTACGACATCAACACTGAGAGCAGTGGCACTCTGCAGAACAGCTTGTTCGAGGTTGAGGATGATGACATCCGGAAGGGTATGGAGACACTTGTCATCAAGTCAATGCCTCGTGCCAAATACTTCGTTGCTGGCAGGCTGCCTGAGGACCAATACCCTCACTACGCTCTGAACCTTCCCCTCTACACCCACTTCACCAACCCATCTCGCCGCTATGCCGACATCATCGTGCACCGCCAGCTGGAGGCTGTCCTATCCAACGGTGCCATTGAGTTCACTGAAGACATTGAGGCTCTTGCCAAGACTGCAGAGATGTGCAACACCAAGAAAGACTCTGCTCATGCTGCCCAGGAGCAGAGCGTTCATATCGAGGCTTGCCGCAAGATGGACAAGGTCAGGCAGGAGAGGGGCGGTGATCTCATCGCCGAAGGTATCGTCCTTTGCGTGTACGAGTCCGCATTCGATGTTCTTATTCCCGAGTGGGGCTTCGAGAAGCGCGTCCACTGTGATCAGCTTCCCCTCAAGAAGGCTGAGTTCGACAAGAACAAGCGTCTCCTTGAGCTATACTGGGAGAAGGGTGTTCCATCGTCCAACTACATCCCTGAAGACGAGAGGCCAAAGCATGGCTCGCTCAGGTCTGCCAATGCGGCGGCTGCAGCGCGTGATGCCGAGGCTGCTAAGCAGCGTGCGAGGGAGCAGGAAGAGGCTCAGCGCAGGCAGATTGACACTGGAGCCATGTCGACTAACGAGGAGGCTGCGTTGTTCGACGATGATGACGACGACTCCGACTCCAACGACCTTAACTCGAACATGGCCGGTGTTTCCCTCAACTCCGACCGTCCGACTCAGAGCATGCCCCCATCGCCCACCCGCCGTGATCTTGCCGGCGCTCCTCACCGAGTCAACTCGGACTCGAAGATTGCACAAAGTGCTGGTGATGCTGCGGAGACCAAGTTGACCAACAAGGAGAAGTACCTTAGCTGGTTCACCCTGCGCGAGCAGAATGGCGACTACATCCAGGATGTGCGGGAGATGACGCGTGTTCCAGTTATCCTTAAGACGGATCTGACCAAGAGCCCTCCGTAAGTTAAAGTTATTCACTGGATTCTGAAATCTACTGACCTATCTTGCAGTTGCTTGACCATCCGATCCCTCAACCCCTACGCTTTGTAAAAGAATCGACTCGCTTGGTCCGAATTGGGATCCAGCATTTCGGTAGCTTCTGTCGACTTGGTATAGAAAATTGAATGGAGGATACATACTAGGTTGTGCAGGAAGAGACGATTGGTGATCTGTGTATTGTTCATGTGCACGCGGCGAATGTATCGACAGTCGCGATATATGGTTGCAGCTCTTATACACAGTAGTTTTCCGTAGTACAGTAATGTGTTGACCCCCCACAAGAGCGCCTCATGCCAGACGAAGTCCATTATGATTGCTTTTGACACCCGTCCGCATTGACACCTACTCCGCAATTCTCGTTCAAGCCTGGGTAAGGCGGCTCGAAAGCCGCACAAGGCGACCAGATGAGCCGCGTTAGGCATCACTGACATCTTGATTACTACATCAGAAGCTCATCCATTGACGAGGATTGGCTGTTTGCGATGGAAACAAGCTCTTTGATGACCGCCTCCCGGCCCTTGTTTGCACGCATGGTCGACTGTGACAAGCTGCCGCCATACGGCATTGGGCTGATGCTGCAGGCTGGTGCAATCCGAATCTTCACCAGCGGATCTGCGACTTCCCACCCCTTGTAGGAGGCGGTCTGTGTACATGCATGTGTTTATCGTAGCGAACGGGAGCCTTGAGGCCTGAACCGTTGCCGAAATAGCAGTGGTTCTCCATGAGGCTTGGCAGCGTGAAGATGTTTTGGGTGCCTCAGCCACCTCTTAATCCATCCCTCTTAACCTCTCGACCCATCTATAGTTCTCTCGGCACAGAGCGTAAATGCTCCCACGACATTCTTATGGGAGACCTTATATCTATGACTATGCTACAGCATACTGTCTAAAACTTGGTGTTGAAACGTTTCGCAAGGTCGTCACTGCTGGAAACACACCCCACCAGCGACATGAGGGAGACGACTGCTTCAAGCCTCAAGTGGTGAGCCACTTCACTGTTCCGGACGGAAAGTCTGAATACCGCCATTAATCGCCATGCACTATCGCTGTACCCGGGTTTTCTCTAGGGCGGCTCTGCTGTCTCCGCGCACGCGTTGGCACTTGTAGGGTTTCATGACTCCCGTTTCGCGTCGCAGGGCCCCGGACCTGCTACATCACACGCCTGCACCACGAGCCCCATCGCTACATGCCGGACGCGCTCAGCGGTTGCAACACTACTAGCGAGCAGTTCCTGGACGATCAATGGGTCGATTTGCCAAGCTTTGAAGCTTGTAGGGTCACGGATCCAGTATGGAAGCCAGTGCGTCGGCGGGATCCAGTTGTCCGCCACATGCTCAACATCCGTCCTCCGAATTTTACTATGGCGTCTCAGATACCTCCTAGGAGTCGTAGCTGCTTGTATAAGGTCCATTGGCCGCCCACCTTGTTTCCATACTCGTTTTCAGTTGGATCATCGGCGAGCCTCTTCTACCTTCCTACCTAATAATCAACCACATTCCTTACGGTTTACCTTCTCAGTCCCTGGTTGGACTTTAGACAATTTTTAATAATCGAATTCAAAGCGAGTCTTTGCTGGAGGTCCTTCTTTACGAACTTGTCTACTCAAAAAACAATTCAACAAACCTAATCCACTCAACATGCCTAGCGTATCAACCATCCTCAAGGGCCTAGTTGCCCTGGCGCCTCTCGTGGCTGCCGCTCCCGCAAACTATGCCCGTCAAGAGTCGGCTTCCAAATCGAGCTCAATGGTCATGTCGTCCGCTACCCCCGCGGCGGCAGCCATCACCGAAACCGCAGGAGAGGCCGCCTCTCCTGCTGCTGCACCGGCGGCAGCAGCAACATTGAGCGATGTTGACATCCTCAACTTGTGAGTAATACCAATTCCCTCAACATAGTAATCAGGGTCTGACAATGGAAACAGCGCTTTGACTGCCGAGCATCTCGAATCGGAATATTACAAGCAGGGTTTCGCCAAGTTTTCCATGTCAGACTTCATGGCTCTCGGTCTGAGTGAAGGCCAGGTCAAGTCTTTGATGGGTGTTGGACAGACTGAGGCCACTCACGTCACTACTCTGCAGTCCGCCATCGCAGGAGCAGGTGCAAAGCCCGTCGAGCCTTGCCAATACAACTTCGACGCCGCCCTTGCCAGCGCTGACTCCATGGTCAAGACTGCCCGTGTTCTTGAGGCTGTCGGTGTCTCTGCGTACCTTGGTGCCGCTCCCCTTGTCAACTCTTCCGACATCCTCTCGGCTGCTGGTTCCATCGTTACTGTCGAGGCCCGTCACCAGGCATTCATCCGTATCGCATCTGGTGCCGAGCCAGTCCCTGCCGCTTTCGACACTGCTCTCCAGCCCCGCGCTGTCTTCACCCTGGCCGCTCAATTCATCAAGTCCTGCCCTGAAGGATCCAACCTCAACATCCAGGCCTTCCCTGCCATCGCTCTTCAGAACCCCGAGAAGGCTACCGTTGGTCAGAACCTGAAGCTTGCCGACCCCGCTCAGCCAGCTGGTGCCTCTTTCTGCGCTTTCGTCGCACCGTAAGTCACACCACATCCCCCTTATGAGGTCTACCTTCTAACATATTACAGTGGCGGCAACCAGTTTACCAAGATCACCGACGGCAACTGCATGGTTCCCCAGGGCCTCCAGGGTGAAGTCTACATGATGATCACCAAGAGCGAGTCCGTTGCCGACGCTGAGGTCCTTGCCGGTCCATCCGTTATCCAGCCCTCATAGATGCCTTCACCAGCATGACGATTTCACATTGTCTTCCATTTCAATTCTTCACCAAAGACAAGGGCTGAACGACCAGAGCGAGTGAGCAGAGCGTCACAGGAGCAAAATGCGCGACTGTAGAAAGCGAGTATGTGCATATGGACGATTTACCTTTCCCCACAGTCGTTGAAATACAAGCGTTGATCTCAAGAACGGTTTTTTTCTTTCGTGTTTCTTTTTTCCTTTCAGACGGCTTGTTGTGTAAAAGGTTGGGAGAGATACCCCAAGCATGGTACGAGCGGTACGAGCATGGAGGAGACGGGTGAGCGTGGTTCCGCGAATCAGCTCAGGTAATAATAGCAGGTATAGCATGAACATGAAAACGATTAACGATTTTCAAAGCGTTGACTAAACACTGGTTTTGTGATACAAGTGACCTGCAGCTTGCGACGTAGAGTGACTTGACTAGAGTGACTTGTGACTGTGTTGGGGGTTCCAACGAGATGGGTTTCATCTTCGCATTTTTTCGACTCTTTAGGTTTGGTGCGAGATCAGTCGGATGGTGGCGCTCCGTGTGTAAAGGGTGCCACACCATGAGTAACTTCGAACACGTATGTTGAACGCAGACTTGCGACGTAACGAAACTTGCTCAGGTCCTCCATCGCTAGCTTTTCGAGAATCACAAGTATGATATCTACAGCGTACACAGCATCTTGCTAGCGGCGGTTTACTGGCGGAAAAGCAACATTGCCGAAGATTTCCCGGTCGCTTCCTTTTGCGAACTGCAAGTTCAGGGTTGCCTTGTGCTGATTGGCTGCGTACATAATATGGAGACCCTTCGCTTCCCCGCCTTGAGCATGCTTCTTCTGGTGCTAACAGAACGTCGGTGTAGGCTAGGAAACGTCTGGATGCAGCGTTCTCGCAGTGCTCCGCTCCTTTGAGTAAACCTTGCGAGGCAATGAGCCTAAGCTCGAGCACTGGAGAATTGAAGGGACCTGTAGGGGTGGTTTTTATTGCGCATCGCGCGGCTGTTGGTTGAAGGGTTGTTGAGTGTGCAGGAGTAGAACGTCATAGCCTCTGTGTGAACGGTTCACCTTCGTATTACGCCAATCGCGTCAAAACTTTCATACTGTCCACTAGCGTTGGGCTTACTTATCATAGACCTCTCCTTCCTTCCAGCTCGATCTTCAGGCTTCCTTCGTCAACCACTCGCACCTTAAAAGCCCTAAGCAGCAACCAGGTTGTCAACCCTTCCCGCCGTTCCAAGAGCCCAACAATGGCGTTCCAAAACGGCACCTCATCGACCTGTCTAGAGCAGCCCATTGAACTCCAAGACGTCTCAAATTACATCTCTAAGCCCCAAAATGCCCAAATCGCCACTTCGAGTAACACGGGCGGCTTGCGACTTTCAGATACCAAAGGCGCCCAAGAAAGCGACCCGATAGAGAATTTACCATCCCCAACGACCCAATCAGCAGCCAAGTTGGAGCAATGGAACCATCCTCGATCGAATTTCTTCAAGACCTCGGCGGCGTTCTGGAGTTTCGTCGTTATGGGGAGTAATGATGCAGCGTATGGAGCTTTGATACCTTATGTAAGTTGGTCGAACTTTTGAGAGGAGGGCGTGGAGAGTGCATGCTGACAATGACTCAAGTTGCAAGAGTACTATAGCCTCACTTTTGTCGTCATTTCGCTAGTGTTTTTATCTCCACTTGTCGGCTACACGGCTTCCGCATTGTTGAACAACACCATTCATCTCAAATTTGGCCAGAGAGGTGTTGCGGTCATAGCACCGACGTGTCATCTAATCGCGTATGTGGTTATTGCGGTGCATCCTCCATACCCGGTGCTCGTCGTCATTTTCATGCTGGCTGGCTTTGGTAATGGTCTTGCTGATGCTGCATGGAGTGAGTATCTGTCTCATTTCCTGTTTCCACAGGTCGTAAGAGGAAAATGGCTGACTGACTTTGAATAGATGCCTGGATGGGTAACATGGCGAATCCGAACGAAGTGCTGGGTTTCCTACACGCCTTTTACGGTGTAGGTGCAGTGCTTTCTCCCTTGATAGCAACGACCATGATCACAAAAGGGAGCAGACTGCCCTGGTACACGTTCTACTATGTCATGATTGCCATGGCAGTCATCGAATTAGCGACCTCGACAGCAGCTTTCTGGCGCGAGACCGGTGACAAATTCCGTGCAGCCAACCCAAGAACCAGTGGTACGAAAGACAATCGGATGAAGGAGGCACTCCTCCGCCTCCCGCATGCACGCGTCACTTGGCTCTGTGCACTCTTCTTACTCGGATACGTGGGTATTGAAGTTGCACTTGGTGGCTGGATAGTCAAATTCATGCTCGAAGTGCGTGATGGTGAAGACTTTGCGAGTGGAATGGTAGCGACGGGATTCTGGATGGGGATCACTGTGGGAAGGGTTGTGCTGGGCTTTGTGACGCCAAGGATAGGGGAGAAGTTGGCTATTACCGTAAGTTCCTTCTTTACACCTATGTTGTTTCTTCTTCATATTAATCCAAAGCACCAGATCTACCTACCCATCACAATGGCCCTCGAACTTATCTTCTGGCTCGTCCCCCAATTCTACGTCTCGGCCGTTGCAGTAAGCTTCCAGGGGTTCTTCCTCGGTCCATTATTCCCTGCTGTCGTTGTCGCCGCTACGAAGCTTTTGCCACGCCATCTACATGTGGGTGCGATTGGTTTCGCGGCAGCTTTTGGTGGGAGTGGAGCTGCTGTCCTCCCTTTTGCGGTTGGAGCTATCGCGCAGGCGCATGGTGTACAGGTTCTGCAGCCCATTATTCTGGCGCTATTGGGCGTAATTTTGGTGTTGTGGCTCGGGTTGCCAAGGATACATAAGAAGGAGGAGTAAGATGTCGAAAGAACATCAGATTGATGTTGAAGATATTGAGCAAGAGATAGATATTGTAGACAGGAGCTAATTGTATGTATGCACGTGAATGTGTTGAATCGAGATACACATAATCTCATACTTAAGCATGTACGCCATCGCAAAGAAGTAACTTATATGCCCAAAAGCCCTGTTTCGCAGATCACATCTACTATGAACAATTATTACCATCCCCAACGTATCCATTCTCTTGCATCTGATCATGACTACCATTCCGCACTCTTCCTAGCCGTTGTCCTCTCATTTCCGCTCATCCTCTTACCGACCATCGCACCGACTTTCGTTCCATCTAATAAATTGATATCGTTAGCACATGACCTCTCAGACTCTTTTCACCATGATACACCAAGACTCACCAGCCAGACTATCCGCTCTATGCACCATCCTCTCCCATAAATCTTCTACTGCATCGATCAAGGTATCGGTTCTGCTGCTCTGCTCTACAAGTGTCCAATCACTGTCCCACAGACTTGGCCTGATGGCAAAGAGTTTCGCAATGTACAAAGAAGTTGCAGTCACTGAGGCGATGGCCGATGGATTCACCGTACTCGATCTTCTCGCAGTGAAGACGACTATGTAAGACGAGCTCTTGTCGGAATTCGTAGTGGCGATGAAAGGCGCAACTTCTGTCCATCGACGACATGTTAGCAATCTGCTCATCTGTTTCCCATTGACACCATCCTATACTCTTCATCTGATCTGAACTCCGATATATAGATGCTACCACATACCAACGATCCAGCTTTTCAATACTTCTACAAACTGCAGCTGTTCTAACTTGTCCAGTCCAGTTGCTGTTGAGCTGTTGAAAGTATGGCTGTGTTTTGTCATAATGTTGACTGTCGGTAGTGGAGCCTGTGTTTTAGGGAACAGGCGCATGGAAGGTTCCTTGATGGCATATCTCGGTTGGGTCGACGGCTTGTCACGAGCATTATCTCTGGCGGATGTAGAGGTTCTCAGATGATGAGGAGGATATGGAAGTAGTCTTGACGATCAGGCCATTGATTCGGGCTTTGAGCTCTGCGAATGGTGCGACGAACATTCTGGGGTCGGTTCCAGCGAATTGGGAGACTTTGTGTTGTTGAGGAGAGCTACAGGTGACGGTGTGAACTTTAAGAGTAGTGGCGTCGCGAACGTCGCAGATATGGTAGGCGCCGTGGATATCGAGAGTGTTCCGAGAATTATGTGCTGGCTGCAAACGCTCCTGCTACTGGCACAGCTATAAGTATGAAGCACAGCTTCCAAGTTGGTGACAGTGATATGTATCTATGATAATAGCAGTATATCGGAAGAAGATATTCTACATTCTCAAAGTAAACTACATACTGTGTGTCAGGAATCAATCGTCGTGCCCTCCTCCACAGCCTATCGTCTGCTCAAACATCATACATGTAGACATTAGAAATAGCTTCCTTGCTCCCTCAATCCATTCATTGATTCTTTTTAATATGATGCCACTTCTGCCTTATCCTTCTCTCCTTCAACCATGCCCTCCCTCTCCTCAAAGGTCTTGGAAAGACTCTTCGCCTTTTCTTGCGCAATCTGCATTCCCGCGCCTGCCGCTGCTTTGAGTCCTTCTGCCATAGCAATCGCAACCTGCTTCATCATCAACATGGTGTCGCCAGCAGCAAATACGCCCGTGACGCTTGTCTCGTTGAACATTGCGTTTGCAATCTTGATATGTCCACCCATCGCTGGTTCCACAGTGTCGACACCGAGTTGCTCGATGAGGTGTTGCGCACGATTGACTGTAGCAGGTTTGTGAACGATAAAACCAAGGGTGACTGGTTCGCCGGTCTCGAAGTGGATTGTTACGCCATCTGTGTGGCTCGGGCCGTTGTTTACCAGGCGCACGATTTTCCGCTCGTCGAGCGTTGCACCGAAGGCCTTTGCGAGTTTCATAGCCTCTTGTACTGGTTCTTCCTGCTTGGTGGGGCCGTTGCTGAATATGGTGATGGAAGTGGGTTCGAGTGGGATGGCCATTTGTACAAAGTGAGTGTACATTGGGTTGTCGAAACCTAGGATGCCGACTGCACTTCCGCGTTGCTCGTAGCCATCACAAGCTAAGCATTGGTATATATGCGCTGGCCAGTTCTCCTTATAGCCTTGGATTTCGGGGAAAACATCTCTTGAACCAGTAGCTAGGATGACCTTCTTTCCCTCATATAAGTGACCGTCGCTATCTGTGACTTCGAAGCCATCATACAAGCCCTTCTCATCAGGTACAGACACCTGTTTCTTTTTCGCATGGGTGATTGTCGCAGCTTGAAACCAAATTGTATCGTAACGAGATTCGACTTGTTCGCGAGCTATGCGACCGAACTCTCGGGGATTGAAGTGATCGCGAGACGCCACCGTATGCATGTGTGTAACACCTTCATTACGGTACTGCTGGTTGTCGAAAACAATAGCTGTACTACGTGTTCTTGCACAGGTGAGTGCGGCGTTCAGCCCCGCTGGGCCTGAGCCGATAATGAGTATGTCGAACATCTGGGGTCGAACTCTGAGCACCATCTTGTTATGTCTAACTCGTATAGCGTCTTTGATATATCTTTCGAGAAGCGGTAGGTCTTGAGCGAGATAAGGTGATCTGAGAGTTCAAGAGTGTGTGGAAATTTAGGTTCTGCTCGTCATTTGTCCAGCCGGCCTAATATAGGTCTATAAGCACCAGATCTATGCGGCGAGAAAATCCCCAAGAAAATCTCCGGTGCAAGTACGGTCTCGAATGTGTCCACCATAAGGATGCGGCCTTATTTAATGCTTCAAGTAGAACAGACCGCATCGCGCATGCTGTCCAACAGTACCTAAAGTCTCCGGTTCCGTACTGTCAGCGCAGTGTTGGAATGTCTCCGAGAAAGTGTCCACAGTCGATCTTGTATACTGGGGGAAGTCTCATCGCATCCCATACAGTATACATTAGTGCTCGGTAGAAACTACTTTGAATTCTCTGTATCCGTGGTCACTATATGTAGTCACATCAGCAGAACGGGCGACGGCACAGTCAACAACACACTTTTCGGCATGAGAGATCGACTTGTTACGAGAAAAAGCGCTGCATGATACGTTTGTACTGTGCCTATTCGAGTTTAAACGCGCTCTAAGTGATCTGAGTGTCTGGAAGCAAACGCGTCTCGTTACACCGGCACGCTTAGACGGACTCTATTGATGTTAGTCAGGCACCAGTCTTGGTATTGAGCTCCACTACTTATTCTAAACTCATAAGTAGTGAGTAATGTCCGATTGTTGACCTCGTATCAACTAGGAAACATTTTCGTATATTCGGCCCGTGTGATGCTGCTGCCTCCCTTAGCTCGATGCTTCGTAACTTATATGCTCGACCGATGCCCCTGACCTGACCATGGTCTTTCTAAACACATAGGTAATATAACTTCAAATTCGTTCCTTTTTAGGTCCAAATTATTTGCAATCCAGCCAGATCGCCGCTAGTATCGGACTTTACACCAGCGATGTAGGCAATGACCATCAACAATTATTGCGATACCGACAGTGCTGACTCTAGACCTAGGAACGAGCTACCCGTAGAGAAGATTGACTTCACAGGCGCATACACGGTAGCGCGAGCTGGGCTTCTCAAGGCGAAGCTACAGGCATTGAGTAATGTGTTGATTAGAACTCCGTTTCATCGTCACAAGCAGCTACAGTTCGATGTCATCCTCCAGGGAACATCGTCTTGCACGCATGTCCAAGGCTCGGAGGAAGTCTACTTCTGTACCAAGGGACTGAAACGACCGGACGATATTCCTGACCTTTATGTCAGGGCTTACACTGAAGTATTAGGGTCACAACACTTCACGAATATACGCCTCGTCAGATATTCGGATAGCTCTAGAAGAACCGTTACAAGATTTGGTCCAACTTTCTCGGATGTAAGGACTTTGCTAGTAGCGTTGGACGCCATTTGCGACACTTCACTTGAAGAGATTTTCTCGAGCGCAGAGCAGACACGTAGGTACCACCTTATTCAGGCTCGTGGATGAGTCTAACTATGCTAAAGTCAAACCTCTCCCGTTTCTCCGGCTTCCCTATGAGCTTCGTCTCCAAGTATACGATTGTCTCATACCGCATCTTGCCTACATCCCTATGTTCTCTCGAAAGTATACAAGAACAGATAGGTCGTTACCAGAGAATCTGGCGATAATGCGTACGAATAAACGTATACATGACGAGATCGACAAGCATTGCTTCGATCGGCACGTACTCCTACTCAAGGCCAGCAGGGTTACAGGACTAGCATCGACCCAAAATCACTTCGCATGCGATACCTCAAAAGATTACGCGGACCGATACACGAGCATCGCAAGATCGAAGATCAGACATCGAATAACCCAGCTCGAAATTCAGATTTTGCCAACTGAAGAGTCTCTTGAGGACACACTTCGCGAGTCCTGGTCAATGGCAGACAAAGTTTCCCTACGACAGATCTGCTCTGTCCTGCCGAATCTCGAGTCTATCCTCTTCTCGTATCCCAAACCGGATCCAAGAAGCATAGCTCTAATCGATGAGCTGTGGAAATCAGTCAAACCACACATGAAGGGTTCCCCGTGTAATCGCAACCGGAAGGTCACGCTTGAGTGGATTTCCAATCAGCTTTGGCTAACCGCAGGAGCGCCACCTCGCATTCTGTGGGATCTGACCTATTTTCGCGAGTCGGTGGAGAATGTGAAGAAGTTGAGGAGAGACATATTTTCCGAACGAATGATGAAAGATTTGATCAAGCAGGATGGGGGTCTTGAACAAGCACGAAGTGTAGCTTCCACAAAGGAAGACTCGCAAAGATGGACTGAGGTCAGAGCGGCGGTCCTCGAGGCCTTGAAGAGAGAATGAGACTCTCTTTTAACAGGCAAGCGATTCCGCTTAGAGAATGAAAGCTGTGTATCTAGTCCGTTAGGCTTTAACATGGCTGCCCCATATTGTCACTGTTAGCTTCCTGACTGCAAGCTCCTCTGAAACAGAAAGATTGAACGCTGAACGTACTATACAAGAAAGACGCGGACCCTTCGCATCTTGACCAATGTTCGTCTCTCACCCCCACATGCCCTCTTGTGAAATTTCGAACGCCTGAATACCCATTGCGGAATCTCACAGTCCCAGTCTATGCGTCTCTCCATATCCAAGTGACATTACGCCGTGTTCGAATGGTATCGCCTCGTCTACTGACTGCATCGGTGAACCCCATGTAACAACACCCCTCCCATCGACTGCATATGCTCCGCCAATCTGCCATCGACATGCTCCTTCTCCAACCTGTTGTCCCCAGACACCCTCATTCTTCCGGAGCATGACCTGATTGTAGCCATTCCTAGGATGCAGCACATGGCCCCAAGTAGCTATGCCTAGACCCCATAGCGCGTATAGTTCCCGGTCTTGATCCACTACTACATCTACGTTCCAGGCTCCACCGAGTTTCTTGAGCCATTCTGTGGTTGCAGCGGGTGTGCAGTGGGAAATTGCGACGAAGTGGATCGAAGTATGGCGGTTCGCGAGGGTTCGGAGCGAGAGGAAGAGCTTCTCGGAGACTTTTGCACGAATTAGATGCTTTCCGCCATTGCCGCCATTGCATCCGACTAGAACGTCTGAGGAAATGAATACTCACAAGGACACCCGCAGAACCTTAGGAACAGCAGTATAGTCGGCCGTCCGTCGGCCGTTGGGAATTGCAGCTTCGTGTGTGTTTGTGCTCGATCTCCAATGTTTGGTGGCTTGCGCACCGGGGTCTGGGGCGGTGGAGGCGTTGTCCAAGATTGTAGGGCTTTTGGTACGCCCCATTGTACGTTTGCGAAGGGGTTGGCGAAGCCTGTGTCTCCTCCATCGGCGCCGTTGGTGCTCCCCTTCTTGGTGTTCCCACTACCAAACAAGTCGTCGGTCTTTGGGAGCTTGACATTGCCTAATCCGGCTTTCCGGAGGGCTATCTTGGTCCCTAGCGAACTGAACATAATTGCTGATATTATTGTTCGGCGGCCGTAGCTCGGATGCCGATGATTGTGTAGGATTCCCAGATTGTGTAGGATCGTGGCCGTGTCGTGTGGGAATTATGCCAGATTATGCACATGTGGTACGAGCTGGAGGGACGGATTAATTAGTTCAGGAGAGAGGCATGCCAAAAGCGCCGTCGAGTGTAGAAGATGTGCGGAAAAGCTTTCGGTCGTGCCGACATAGTGCTGATCTTGTAGCCACGACGCGTTGCGGACCATGCATCTGAAACGGAGGCTGTGGCACGGACTCCTAATCTGACGTCCGGGGAGGTGGATCGAAACAGTCCGACGACTGTAGTCCAAGTCATAGTGCTACAGTTGGCAGATTGCAGCTTGCGCAACTCTGTGGCATCATGACGAGCATGATGGGTCCTGGCATCCTTTGACAAGGAACGGCCTTGATCGCGGTGTCACGTGACAATGACGCTAAGCAGTGCGGGGCTAGCGTTTGGGCAAGCGAAACCTCCATGATGGTCAACTCTCACTGTCCATTTGCGCGGCGTACCAAATGCATCGCTATCTAATTACAAGTCTAAACGAGGTATCATCATAGGCGGTAGTGACAGCAATACGCGTCGGGTATCCTATCGTACAGACGCCCCATGTCGACGCCAACGCCAATCCCATCTTGTCGAGTCTTCATTATTAACACATTGCACCAACCATTGTGCCACAAGTTCTAGCTCTTACCGCTTGTATGCAAAGATTGTCCTGCACTCAAGCAAGGTCTGGCGCTTTACGCACTCTTGCACAATCTCTTCGTCTTCCCACCACCACTTCGGTTCGTCTTGAGCGTCGTCCACAAAGCTGCCCCAGATGTCTTTCCAGAAGGCTCGGCCGATAATCATTGAAAGCTCGTCGTTTACATTGGCCGCATCGGGGTCGAGAGCACATGGTAGCGTCATGCTCTGATCGTCTTCTTGAACAAGCATCTCGAATCCGGCAGCTGTCAGCCAGCTTGGAACTAGCGAACATGGCTTCGAGCATCTGAAGTCCCGTTCCAAGTTGACAGAGAGCCTATCCTCAATCCACATCCGCATCAGCGGGCCGGTGGTCTTGCGTACTGGGGCAGCATCCATGATCCTGATCTCTAGGAAGCCACCAGGAGCGAGCAGCTTGTGACATTCGCTGAACAGTTCTGGTAGCGTGGCGGATGGGACCAGCGACGGCAGCGTCGATGCTCTTATATGCGAAAAGTAGTCTTCTGGGTAAGGCAGTGGAACGGCACCGAGCTTGCGCACCGTCAAGTACGATACATTGCCCGGCAACTGAACAGGTCGTGGGGGCTTGGTAGTAAGGAAGTGTACTGTTTGAGACGGATGCATAGCCGACAGTTGGTATACCTCAGCTGGCGTTGACCGTTAGAGCTTGCACGGCAGCGTGACACAAGGACACAACATTCACTTACACAGATTTCCATATAGTTCAAGGATTCTCCCGGTGTTACATTCGGGCTGCGGCAAGGTCTGTTCCCGACCCAAGTTCAGCATTTGGAAACCCGTCAACAGCCACAGCTGTTTTTCGAGGACCAACTGTTCAACCATTAGCAGGGCTCGGTACAAGTCTACAGGATCACTACATACCTCTTCATCAACATCTCCGCCTGCAGTCCATTGCCAGTCTTCCTTAAGTCGATCCAAGATAACCTTTGGACCGGCGCCTTCCATCCTACGGATGAAGCGTTGGAATCGACTGAGCTCTGATGTAGTACCTTGAGAGACTGTGACCTTTCTAGGAGTCAGACGCGACTGTATTTGCATCTCCGAAGGTACGCCTCTTGGAGTGAGACACTGCCATTGCGAGAGAGGCTTGCAGGAGACTTCCGAATTTGCGCCACTATTCACTTTGACCATGTGCCTCACGTCCTCGTGTGATTGCTCCTCCTGGAAGCTATCACGCAGCTCTAATGCTTCCAGTTTGACAGTCGCTTCAATCTCCATGGGCTGGGGCCATCTACGAACAGTAAGCATAGACCCAGAAGCTGTAAGAAGACTACTCACCCGCTGTCAACTCTCTTTGCTTCTGGCATTGAGATGGGTATAGCATGTTCATTTTCAGGGCTCGCTGTACTGGCACGAGTTCGGCTCGTTACAAAAGACTTAGGACTGACGCGGCTTCCTTGCGTCACATCATCGCTGCTATCGACCATAGTAGGAGTTTTCACCTCGCGCTGCCGGTCATCTGTCACATGTCATAAGCACATATTCACACCATGCTCACGTTAGACCACTTACGCGAGATACGCGACCTGGTGGAGCCCGTATTTCGAGATGACATATCACCTTCCAGCTCTGGTACTTCATGTTGACGTGGATGCATAGGATCTCCGGATGGAAGTGTTGCAGAAAGAGAACTTGTGTACGTCCAGCCAGGTTGCAGCTCGGGATCCTTGAGATTGTGCGTGCGGGTCAAGTCAACTTCAGTTGTCACAGTAATTGCCGTTCTCTGTGAGTCCGTAGTCCGTCCAGTTGATGGCCGTAGTATCTTTGGTTTCATACTCTTCGCCTTCTTCAGGCCCGAAGACCACCATAACTCACGATCGGTAGAGCCCGAGTTTGTCGAACTAATTGATGTTCGTGAAGTCGAAGTGTTGATGGAGTTTGACCTAATGGATCGCTCCTTGGTCTTTCGTTCCCTCCGCGCACCCACGGATTCCGCCTCTTTGTCCAGTGGTAAGTCGGTCGCGAACATGTTCGATTACAGTGGCGAGTCTAGCGGGGTGCAGCGGGGCCACTATAAGTCGATGATCCAAGGAGTGGGAACGAATGATCGCCTGGAGGCTATCAAACCCTCAGGACTAGTTGCACCTCTGAACGGAAAAGTAGTCAAGCACCTGGGTGGACCGTGTCGCAACTGTAAAGCGAGTTACGCAACGGTCCCTTGTTTCCGCGGCATCGAAACGCTGTCGCACCACTCGGACCGTGGCGTTATTGACCTTTTCAGACTACTATCAGGGCTTCCCTGATCCGAACACATGCACTAGCGCTAATCTGTTGTGCTTCGATGCACAGCGCAGATGCACTCAGCGCACCGTGAGCTTTCCGGTTGTCAACCATACTGCTGGAGAGAGATACCGCTACGCGTGGTGTGAGCGTGCAAAGCAACCCCATCTCAATTCGGGTCTTCCCCGAAAAAGCAAACAGTTGGGCTGTACAGCAGGTGCGACTGGCCAGCTTATCGGGCTCTCTTTTCCAGTTCTCGGTCTTTCCGCCCAAGGTTCTGCAGGAAACGCTTGTGGCTGGCTACCATTCGCAATGACGGCTGCTAAGGGAAATAACCGATATGATGCCGCCAACCTTGACTTGCATTCGCTACAAACTGCGAACCCAACTAGAATGGTGATCACAGCTGATCCATTCTGGTCGGAACTGTAGGGTCGAACGGGAACACCGGTACCATGGACAGAATAAGCAGCAAGGCCGCTGAACCGACACGGCGGCATGAGTTGTAAACCAGATGAGCATAGTTGTTGTCAATCTTGTCAGAAGGAATCCACAAGGGTGAGCAGAAGGTTCTACTAAGGCTTTTAGTCGCCCCGTCATTTTGCTGCAGATGCGGGAGGGGCACCAAAGACAACATTCCGACCAGTCATGGTTCAGTCTGATCTACATCGGATGTACCTGACTAGCGCAAGCTAGACTCGTCAGCCCCTGACTCGCTTCTGTCAAGCCACTATAGCACGAGGCTAGACCACCCACCCTCGAGTACGCTGCAAGATTCTCCGCTCCAGCTGCACGACAACGCTCCTGCCGCCATACCATTGACTTGTGCTACGCATGATGCGGCCGTCCCAAGTGGTCATGCCGTCACTCCGTCCAAAACCTTCTTAGGGCGTGCTTTTTACCCTGCTGCGCGCTATGCATAGCCTTGACTTCCCCGCCCATCCCTTTCGCTACATGCCACTCCGCCTTGCGCGTGTCTTTTGTTTAGTACAGTTCGCCCTACCCTTCATATTTCCTATAGCATTCCTGCAGGAACTTTGCTTATGGCGCCAATATAACCGATCGCATTTGCGATTGATCCATGCCATATACCTTTTCGTTCCGAATCGTTCATGTTTGCTTCTACCGGACGTGCGTGACACAAATATAGTCGACGCAGGGCTATCTGTCGCAGATCCCTCCCTCTTTATCTACCGAGCATTGAAACCTTCGACTGGTGGCCCTCTTTACGTCTACAATCATGGAGTCCATCCGTTCCTCAATCGAGTCACTCAATGTGTACATCGGCCGGTCAACCTTCGGAAGGATATTTCGTCTCGGCGGCTGTGGGCATGTATGCTTAACGAGGGTATTGGTGACATTGGATATGGCTGACTGTCTTCGCAGAAAGATGAGATCCTACATACGAAGTTCACTACCGAAGTGCGGGCAGGACTTACGTCCTTCTTCACAATGGCATACATCATAGCAGTCAATGTAAAGCTTCTAAAGCCGTGTATTGTTCGACATATTAATAGATCTAGGCCACTATTCTTGCCGACACTGGAGGCAACTGCGTATGCAATGATGCAACAGACCCTATATGTTTGACGAACACCGAGTACCTCATCTGCAAGCAGGGTAAGCACCTTCTAAATGCTCAGTAACTTATCTGACCCAAGCTCAGATTTGAACCGCAACCTCATCACCGCAACCGCGGCCGTAGCCGGCTTCAGCTCGTTTCTCTTTGGGTTCTTCACCAACATGCCCGTTTGTCTCGCACCAGGCATGGGTCTCAACGCGTACTTCGCCTACCAGATTGTCGGCTTCCATGGCACCGGCCTCATCTCCTATAATCTGGCACTCACTGCGGTTTTTGCTGAAGGCTTCATCTTCATATTCCTATCTTTAATCGGCATGCGACAGTGGCTCGTCAAGATTATACCAGTGTCGCTTAAGATTGCTGCAGCGTGTGGTATAGGACTGTTTCTCGCCGAGGTTGGACTGAGCGCCAATGCAGGTATTGGTGCAATTGCAGGCTCAAAGAGTACTCCACTTGACATAGCGGGATGTCCAGATCAGTACAAGGATGAGTTTGGCTCATGTACAAGCCACAAGATGACCTCTCCTACTGTATGTCCCATGTTACTTCCTCACAGAATGTTGCTAATACCTCTCGCAGATGTGGCTAGGTATCATGGGTGGGGGCATCCTGACAGCTTACTTGATGACATACAAGGTCAAGAGTGCCATGATCCTGGCCATCCTACTCGTGTCAATCATCTCATGGCCACGAGGTACATCAGTCACATTCTTTCCTTACAACGAGGTTGGTGACAACCGCTTCGAATTCTTCAAGAAGGTGGTCGACTTTCATCCCATCAATCGCACTTTGAACGCTCTGGACTGGGACGTCAACCGGGCACCTGGCCACTTCGCCCTCGCCCTCTTCACTTTCCTCTATGTGGACATCATCGACTGCACAGCTACACTTTATTCCATGGCACGTTTTTCCGGCGTGGTGGACGCGGAGACTGGAGATTTTCCACGATCAACGATTGCTTATTGCACGGACGCTTTTTGCATCTCCATGGGTGCACTCCTTGGTTGTTCACCTGTGACGGCTTTCATCGAGAGCGGTGCTGGGATTGCAGAAGGTGGCAAAACTGGATTAACAGCCATGACCTGTGGTGTTTGTTTTCTCATATCCATGTTCTTCGCTCCTATCTTTGCTTCGATACCGCCATGGGCTACTGGAAGCACATTGATCCTGGTAAGCCTTTCTTTATCAAATCTTCAAGACATCATCATTAACCAAAACATAGGTTGGCTGTCTCATGATGCGACAAATCTCCTCGATCAATTGGCGGTACATCGGCGATGCGATTCCAGCCTTCGTAACCGTGATGTTCATCCCCTTCGGATACAGCGCGGCCTACGGTCTCATTGCGGGCTTGATGGTCTACACTGCACTTAATGGCATGATTTACTTGACCAAGATTATCTCCGGCGGCTACATCGTTCCCGAAGACGAAGATCACCGCGAATACTGGACTAGTAAGTTTCACCACATTTCCCTGCTTCGTCGGCGCACTTTCCCACTACACACCCATCAAAGATACCAATCACTAATAAACAAATCCAGTCAAACCCGCTGGCAGACTCCCCTGGTTCATCACCGCATCCCAAAGCCTCGCAGATCGCGTGCGGGGGACTCACACGCCCAATTCCCGTGACGCGATTTCCATTCGAAGCACGGAGTCGGAGTGGAAATACCACGATCGGATTGGCTCAAATGGATCCAATCGCGAGCTTGACTCGGTCGTTATACAAGCCTTGCCCACAGATCCTCGCCGGGAGAAGGTTTTCAAGTCGCCGGGGAGATAATAGCGCCTGTGATTGGCAGGAGAGAGTTTCTGTGAATTAGAGTTTTGCGCTTATGAAATGAATCATAACGAGTCATTCGAAATTGCATGTCACCTGATTTTGCCTGCCGTTATTTTGATATCCTAACTCTTGATCTCCATAGCTACTGACAAAAATTTATCGAGCACTGTCTCCTGTCGGGTACGTTTTCCGTGTCTAAGGTGGCATCAACTTTGGCTCACAAACTTTGGGTCGGGTCAACGCTCTCGCTCAACATCGAGATTGGGACCGCGGCATTGATATCCGTTAACTAGTCCAACCTTCCTCCAACCCTCCTTCAACTTCTCTAAGGCGAGAAGAAGTAACAATGCATCACTTTTCCAAGCCACGAATATCCAGCAGTGCACTAAATAGTCTTCCGAGATCTGCTCCTCGTTTCCTTGTTTTTGCCTTCTAGCTTTGCATGCCTAAGGTGCGCCAATAGGAGTGATCTACGAACTCTATGGTTGCCGCTCAGTCTTCCGAGCCGCGTATTCGCAAGCTGCACGGCTGGGGTGCCGATCGCTACCGATCCAGAAGGGTCTTGCAGCGGCACTTAACTCATAAGAAATGGCACTACCGGTGTCTGCCATCAATCCGCAACCGACGTGCATCTTGCAATCATGTCATCATCGAATATCGACGCATCTTCTATCGATATGTAAAAAGCAACCTATAGCTAAAGACCAGTTCACCATCACGCCTGTATATCTAAGTAAAACAAATTGCTACCTCCTTTCGAGAATAGTGTATATGATACGTGCGGGGCTCGTGTTTACATTGATAACGGTCTATTCGTCCAGCTTTGGTACGGGTCTCCGGCATGTGTATCAAGCTTAACGACGAGATGAATTTCTTTTTGTAGGGCTGAGAAGGATAGCGCATGACAGCTCGGCAAGTACATAAGCCTGTTTCGTGTCAAACATCGTCGTCTTCCCAATGCGGTATGCTCCACACACACTCATCAAATCTCAAACTAACCCTAGAGAACGTGTACCCACCATCGCTTCTGCAACACCAGTTCGCCCCGCACTTTCTTTTTCCTTATCTCAATTCAACACAATGCGCCGCCGTCGACCTGCCACACTGATCCAGTCACGAAGCTTGCGTCGCTGCTAAGCAGGAATTGAATCACTTTCGCGACTTGTTCAGGGCTGGGGACGCGGCCGAGGACGGCGTTGTTGGGGGGTGTGAAGCCGTTCTCAATATCGAAGGCGTCCAGGTGTGGTGTGTCACCAAAGCTTCTAAAATAGTGTCAACGACCGGCTCTGCTCCGACAGTACAAGTGGTGGGAAGAGAACCAGTGTCTGAGATAGGCTGAAGGCATCACTTACGGTGCGATAGCATTGATCCGAATGCCAGTCTTGGACTGCTCCCTTGCAGCAGCCCTCGTAAGTCCAATGACGGCATATTTTGATGCGCAATAGATTGAGCTGCCTTCTTTGTCGACCAGTCCTGCTGTCGATGCTGCATTTACAATCGATCCACCTGGTCCGCCTTTACTTGTGGGATGCATGCTGCGAAGCTCGGCAGCCATGCACAAGAACATGCCCTTAACATTGACTGCGAAGACCTTCTTGTAGTTGTCATGGTCGTGGTCTTTTACAAGGGCCTTGTTGCCCGAGATAGCTGCAAGGTTCACTGCACCTGCGTCGTCGTCAGCCCAAGCACATATCCGGACGTTGACTTCCATAAGCAGATCCGTGCCGTGCAAGACGGTCAGGATGCTCACATACCATCGATAAACTCCAATCCCTAGTTCGAAGGGGCATGTCTTAGCCAGCTCTTTACGGCTCTCTCGTTTGTAACATCCAACATTGTGAATTCCGCATTCGGTCCGAGTTCACTCGAAAGCTGCGCCAGTTCTATTAGCTTGGTGTCCCCGAGGGAGACCTTCGCTCCGCTTGCAACCAGCAGTTTAGCTGTCGCACGTCCAACGTCTGATGTTGCTCCGGACATAACGAACAACTTCCCCTTCAGAGTCTGCGGAGGATGAGGTTTGCTGTTCGGAGACCCGGATTCCTCCTGCTTCGGTGATGGCTCAACATTAGAGGCGGAAGGGGTGTTTGGAGAAGTCGGTATCTGAGAGGGTGTTGTGCGAGATGTTGATCCTTGTGACCTTGGCGACTGCGACGTTGGTGATGGAGATCTTGACGATTCAGACGTTGATACCTGAACAGTTAGTGATTGAGCAGCTGGCGATCGAGATGTAGGTGATCGTGGTAGTTGAGCTGACGATACTTGAGACTGCCAACATGCAGGCTCTGATGCCTGAGATGTAGAAGATTGAGATGTCCGTGTTGAATATTCTGGTAACGGATATACGGATGCTGAAGACGCCAGTGATGGAGGCCTCAATGATGGAACAATCGATTCTGTGATTGTTGACACTGGAGTGTAAGGTGGTGACATGAATTCTGCATAAATTGGTAATGGAAGTGGAGTTGCTTGAGGCTGCAGTACTGTACTATATGATGGTGGAGCCGTTGATGCCCGAGATGTTGATGGTAGAACCGTTGGTGGTGTAGCCGTTGGTGGCGGAACTGGCGATGCTGGAGACGGGCGTCCCAGCTTCCAGTAACGAAACAATCTTTTGGACCAGCGACGTGGTGCCATGATGGTTTTCGCTCGTATGTGTTGATAAACGTCGGTAATACGCGACATTTTGTAATATTCTTAGCGATGGATGAGAGGTATGTTCACCGTGGTTGGCGAGTTGTTGGGTAAGAAGTTGGATGAAGAACGTAGGTACTGCGCTCCAGTTTTGTTCACAGTGAGGTGAGGTACGAGTAGGCAGGCGAAATGCTCACGTGGATGGTGCATGCTGGGTGTACCTGTACAGCATTTTATGTCTAGAAGCAATGATCACGCACGCTCTTGACTGCTACGGGCGTGATGAGCTTACAGGTGCATTGTGCTATCCTGTACAAGAAGGAAGATTGGAAGCTGTACCCTGTCACCAAGTAAGTGCAACAGTTTCGAAGCGCATGATAGCAATCTTTGTAGCCGTACGTGCGTACTGCAAGGTAAGTTGAGGAACTCAATAGCAAATCCGATTTCCTTTCAGTGAATTTGTGTTAGCATCGAATTCTTACACACTACCTAGGTACACATTGTCCTTAGACCTCGTATTTCCCCAACACATTCCTCGCCTCCGCAAATTCATTCTCAAGGATTTCTTGTCGCTCCTGCCGAACTCGAATCTCACATTCGAAGTTCTTTGGCGTCCTCACAAGACCATCCATGAATCCTGTTTCGGGGTCAACATCTACCGGCCTTCCAGGCTTCTCTTTGAATTCAAAAGCCCAAAGCAACTTCACGATAGCAATGAAGAGACTGCGCTCGGCGAGATGCATACCGGGACAGATGCGTCGTCCGGCACCGTAGGTATAGTGGTCCCGCGAGGCGATATCGGGAGACGCTGCGTAGTGAGATGCGGCGTGGATGCGAGTTGCGTATCGGTCAGGATCGAAGTCTGACATTGGGGACTCGCAAGTATTGACGTCGGCTGGAGAGTGATTCAGATCCCAGACATTTATGAGGACAGTCGTGTTCTTAGGGATGAAGTAGCCATCAATGGTGTCATCTGTTTCACTTTAGCCATTGTCGATATATATCGCGCGTGGACTGAGGTTTACCGGCGGTGCTGTGATGCGGCATGATGCTCGCTACTGGCCTCCATCGCATCACCTCCTTGATGATTTGAACGACATACGGTAGCTTCGCAACATCGCTCCACATCGGCGATCTTTTGCTTCCTACCACTTCATCAACTTGCCTATGAGCTCGTTGTTGAACACCTGGATACTTGATCATAGCTTGTACGAAAACCCGTATAGCAGATGCCGTCGTATCACTCCCAGCATCGATCAATGAGCCCGCAAGGGTGTCCAGATCTCTTCTCGTTAGATTGATACCCTTCTCTCCCTCATCCAGCAGGTAGTCATACACAGAACCTGCACGTACCCCACGCCTTCTCCTCTCCAACACTGGCTCTGCCATCTTCGTGAAGACAGCATTAACAGCCTGTCCACTCTCATCTCCTTTATTCTTCCAATTCTTCCACCGTCCCCGCCACATCCACTGGGGTACGTATACCAACCAAGGTAATAAGTCTACCGGCGGTATTGCACCAACCTCAAGCAATTCGACATACTTCTCGAACATGACTATATACTCTTGAAGTTCGTCTGCATGTCTAGTCCTTGTCCCATACACCAAACTCTTAATGATACTATTACTGAATCGCAAAGTATGCACCATAAAACCTCCTGGTTCGTGCCAGAAGTCATGTATCATCTGCCTACTTTCAGCTTCCACAATGCCAACGTACTCCTTCTCAACTTTCGCTTCGTTGAAACACTGTGCATATAACTTTCTGCAAAGCCGCCATTTATCTCCCGAGGGCATGAAGACGACCAAGGGAATATTCGCTGGATCTCTGGCAATATAGCGCTCGGCAAAGAAGAAAGGTGGTCTGCTGTTGTATGTTGCGCCGCGCTTGTCAATGAGCTCGCGGACCAGGCGGCGGTCGCTGAGCACGATGGCTGTGGTGTGAAAGAGTTTCAGGCTATAGATGCGGCCATATTGCTTTCTCCAAGCTGTGAATTGGAAGTGTGCATTCTTCGTCGGTATAGACAGCAGGTTACCAAGGAGAGGAAGGGTTCGTGGGCCTGGAAGATTTAGCATTGGATCGAGAGATGGTGTGATTTAGAGGATACCAGGTGGTAATCCTGCTTCTCGGCGACCTATCTTGAGGAGATAGTATAGGCTGACTACTACGGAGGCAACGAATAAGGCAGCTAGAGTAGCCATGATCCAAGATAGCTCTTGAGACAGATTGTTGTCAACCAATATTTCAGAATGAACGGAACTTGGATCGTGTCATATATATTCGCAGGCTTGTCTGTCAGGAAAGACAAGCAATATGTTCTGCGCGCGCTCTTTTCATATGTAAATCAGGCGGGGTAAATTGTGCTACCATTGTATCGGTAGGCAAGAAGTATGCATTAGCTGTTTCCGGATGCGGGACGTTGGTAGAATCCAATTGCAAGGCAAGGTGGTAAACCGAGATGCCGATCGGGGGAGTATTGCATAATAGCCAAGGCATGCACATGTTCATCCTGTTCGAGGTAGCCTACATTCCCTATCCAAGGCATATGCAGCGAAAAGGATCTTCAACGAAACCACAAACCGTATTGTGCAGAGTGAGTGATGGAGCGAATATGATGGAGGGACATTAAGTATAGAAAGTAAAAAAGTATCGTAGTGTTTTACAAAAGCGCACCTGCAAAAGCAGAGATGACGAACATGCCCAACATGCCCAGGCCGGCCTTGCTTACACCCATGGGTGCAGCAGCACCAGTGCTACCTGACGAGCCCGTAGCATCAGGGCCATTACCACCAGACGTCCGGCTCGCGCTTCCACTTCCACTTGGTGTGCCCGTCGCGCTTGCCGTGTTGTTTCCCGAGCAAAAGATCTGGCTGGGGTTCACACCGTTGTCCATAAAACAGGCATTGAGATCAGCAACAGTCTGGTCGTACGCGAGACAGTAATATCCGCATGAACCGTTGAACTCCTCGACCGGAGCGTCTTTGCAGCATTGCGAGAGCGTGTCGGATGTGTTGGAGGGGATGCCGGTTGTGCTGCCGACAGCGCAGAAGACATCTTGGGTAGGAAATTGTGTAAAGTCGGCCGTGGTGCACGAGGCGCCCGTTGCGCTGGGAGAGGCGGCAGATGATACAGCGGAAGACATTGTTGCGAGCTGAGGTTTCTGTATTGTGGTTAGGATTGCATTGGATGTCCTGTATTGAGAGTCTTACATTCGTGCTTGATCAAGACTTGTTTAGTAGCACAGCGACTATGTAATGTTTTCTTCTACTGCGAAGTTAGTAGTCGGAGGTTAGTTGTCTAGCACAATAGCAGGGACGACGCAACGGTCAAGAAATATCCGCAAAGGCAATGCCACGACTTAGCGCAACGTCACCGACAGTTCCAGCAAGATCCATCACGCCAGCGGGCCTGTCGCTCATGGCCCAGCTGTTGATCTGAGGCTGTGACGCTGCTCGGGGGCGTGGCTCGTAGCTCCACATGGTTGCTCAGGAGACCTGTTTCCAAGGATTATTTTTGGCAACCATGACGGACCTTTCGGCAGCTGCTCGCCGAACCACGACAATGCGGCAGGGCAAAACCTCACCATTAGAATTGGCATACGATACAACGACGATTGAGTATATGAGTAGGGGCTGTGTTGCTGCGTGACGTGGTTGATGTGCTTCGCCAAATTTCTCCATTAGTGACATGGCGCGCGCTGGCTTGATGAGGATAGCGTGGCGCGTGGTAACCGGACGGAGACACGAATGTTTACTCAACTCGGAAGTCCAAGTCAACTTCATCAAAATTTCCCACTTGGGATCTGATTCAAAGTATATACATTAAATGTCTAAAACCGCCTTCTCGGTCTACTCCAGTCCAGCCTTCTCCATTTCGGTAGCGGCGTACATGAATGCACCAGCACCCTTACCATCGTTGATCAGCGTCTCAACACCAGTGTAGTACTCGTAAGACGCATCGCCCTTCAAGCTTCCTACAGTGACCGTGCCGGTAAAGCTGAGGGTACCGTTCTTCTCGTACTGGATGAAGTCATCCAACATCAGATCCCACGCCTTGGACGCTGTTTCCTGGTACGACTTCTCCAACAAACCCAGCCTGACACCCTTCATGTATGCGTAGGTGAACATGGCTGTGGCGCTCGACTCGATGTAGTTCCCCTCCTTTCCAGCAAGCTCCGGGTCCATGAGCAGCCACCATCCGCCGCTGATATCTTGGACGTCCTTGATACCAGAGGCCAGTGTGACAAAGTAGTCAACGAGCTTGGAGTAACCAGCGTGTGTCTTGGGGAAGACTTCGAGCACCTCAACGAGCGCAACAAAGTACCATCCCAGAGCACGGTCCCACACATATGGTGAAGCACCAGTCTCAGGGTCAGCCCACACAGTCGACTTGTCTTCGCTGTAGCCATGGTACAGGAGGTTGGTTGTCGTGTTTCGGCAGTGCTCCTCGATCAGATCGAATTGCAACTCGATATCGTTCCACGCAGTCGTGTTGTCGGGCTCGAAGTATGATGTGTAGGTCGCATAGAAGGTATCGGCCATGTAAATACCATCTAGCCACATCTGGTTCGCATAGACAGGGGCCCTGTGCCAGAACCCGCCTGTGGGGGTGCGCGGCCATCGGTCCAGCTGCTCACGGAGACCCTTGGCCGCAACAACGTACTTGTCGTCTTTACGGCCCTCCGAGTTCCAGAAGTAAAGGATGTTGTTGCCAACCCGGATGTCGTCCAGTGTATAGAAGGTGGAGTTCCACCCCTTGATAGTGCCATTGGAGGAAACAACTGACGAGACGGCTTCGGAAGCGTACGCAAGCAGAGAAGAGTCGTTTTGCGTTGTGGCGGCTTTCTGGATACCTTCATGGATGACCGAGGCGACGTAGTGGTTGTCCATGTGCTGGCTCTTGGACAAAAAGGAAGAGGCCATCCATGTCGAATACGGCCTGGTGGTGTTCTTCGCCGCAAGTGCTGTGCCAGCCAAAGCCAGGGTGAGAGCCGGAAGATGCATGGTTGCGAAACGGTATTATGAGCAAGGCAGGATTATCACAAACAAGCCGAGGACCCTGGAGAGACGAATTGAAACACCAGCGAATACTCTATTTGGCGCTGTACTCCTGTCGCTCTTTATACGCAATGCGCTGCGTCCGTACTCGTCGCCCATCTTCTCCCCATGCCCGCCACTACTGCAGTTGCTGCAATCAAAATCCATGTTCATGCAGCCTCGTAGCGTCTCAGCCTCTCCACCTTGTGGTCCTGGACGGTACCTAAAGAATTTCCGCGAGCGGAGGTTTGCCCATCATCGACGAAATCGGCAAGGTCTAGCCATGGTCTGCGACTTGGCAGCGGAGAAATTGGTGATTGGAGATGTGGTGCCTGAAGCGGCGAAAATGCTCAACAGCAGCTGTAATCTGGAGGAACTGCAGGTATGAGATCAGGCTGCATCCATTGACCTAAATTATGATTTTCATACAAAGTTGCAGCGTTGTCGATGGCATTCTTGTCCATCGCGATGTGGAGACAATTGCTGCAATACATGAAGGAGCTCACCCTGAGTGCGGGTCGCCCTAGCCGAGTCAAGCATCCCAAGTCCGCGGGAGGCTTCTTGTGTCCTCTTGTCCCACTGCGCCAATGAACGTCAAGCTTCAACGTTCCCGTCGACGGCAGGACGTGTTGATTCGGGCGGTTCTTTGGTACTTGGTCGTTGTGCATGCAAAATGTGCTTACGAACGCTTACTCAAAACGATCTCACGAAACATACAGCCAAGCAATCCTCCAAGTATGTGGACTGACGAACACAGGTCCTAGCGCTGTACAAATTACCGACAAGCAAGAAGGATGCCAAACACTGTACGGGATTTTCCGACCATACGACCAGTGCAATGCATTCAGTATGTGAAGTTGATGTTGTCGGGGCGGACAAGAGTCTTGCATCACATACAGCCGCCAGGCACCGGATCCTTTCGGCTGTAGCGTTCCGCCCTCTTACAATGGCATGTACCTATTTATTGTGCACTCGTACTTGCTCTGGACTTTGGGAGTGTTGCGTAAGATAACGTGTTATACGCAGACTAGATAACAATATGCAAAGGGATGAGATCATATCCAAGACATCTCGTGGCATGATTTGGTACAAGGATGACCATCGGACAAAATATATTGCCCTTACTCGGGAATATGGTAGTTTCGTCCACCAAACCGACATCTTGCCAAGACTGTATTTCAAGCACCAAACAGCGTGTTTTCTGTCTAGAGTGTTGGGTTCTTGACGACAGACCACCATCTTCCGAACCTCATGATACCCATGTCATATCCTTTCCACCAACAATATCCCCACGAGATAGCCCATGTCGAACCCAGGATAACTGCCAGCCCAACGAGATTAGAATTCTTCCAAGACCATGGCTCTTGCTCCTGGCATAGGTGTTAGCTATCAGCTAGCACTTTAAATTTGTTAAAGTCTTACTCCCGTGCCCTTCTCGCTACCGATGATACCCTTCTCAATGTCGTCTGGTTGCGCAACCGCCTTGATCGAGTTGATGGTGAGATCGAAGTCGCCTTCTTGAGTGCCAAAGAAACTGTCCATTATTAAGTATTGCGGCTGAACAATTTTGTAATGGAGATTTTTACCTTCTCATCATGATGCTGAATCGCTTGACATTCTTCGTGTCTAATGGCTTCGCATCGTCCTTCTCTTTGCCGCGATACGTTGGCTTCATTGCATGCCACGGTACGAACAGATCGAGTTTGCTTTGCGACTCAAAGTCGTACTCGTAGCTGATGGTTGATTGTTCTCGCCCATCTGGCATGAGTGGCAGAATCTCGTCTTTGAGAGTCAGCGTGTACTTTTTGCCATCATGTTTCCCGATATCGAGATAGACGCCGTCGTATGCAGACAAGTCCCAGGTGCGGTCCTCGCCAGTAGTGCGTTGATTAGCAAAGCCGGCACCACCGAGAGCGGTGATGTCAAGATTGCCATGGAAACGTGCTGATGAGCCAGTAATGGTGAGGTACGACTTTGTTCGAGTATGTTAACAATGAGACTAGTTCGTTTCAGAAATTGAGATTACCTGAGATGCTCCTCCTCTTACACGGTCATCACTATCCGTCCAATCCGAAGCTTTCCAGCCTCTGCATGCAGATTCGTCAGCATTGAATCAGACAATGCATTGCCGATGCGTCTTACTTGTCATCGCCAAAAAGTACAAGTTTCTTTTCTCTGCTCATTTTTGTGGATGTACAATGTATGATTATTGCGTCGTGGATGATAGCTCAAACAAACCTTGGAACCTTGGAGGCGCGTCCGAATCGAGTAGTGACCTCATGATGGGGCCCGTGCGGCTGACCGTCCAAACACACTTATTCGCCTGTACGCATCCTTATACACTAACTAAAGCACAACATCATCGCGAATACTAGCAAATTGCTGCGTTCCGGAACAAAACATGGATTTTCGGCCCGCGTCGCGCATGGGCGATGCAGATGAGTCCATACTAGCCGAACCATACCGACCGTTCTACAACATCTTCGGAAGCCAACCCATCTTAGTAAAACAGTACTTCTCCCTGGTCTAGGGTTTCCCCCCCTCCGATCTGACATGTTGTGTAGAAACAATGATTATGACCGAGTGGCCTTTAGGGAGAGACCATGGTTTGGTGTACTGCTATTTGATAATGTATCGTCGGATGCAAGGGACCATGCTGCGAATGAACGAAGTAGGTCGACTCGGAACAAGCCAGTGGATCTGACGGCTAACGTCATCTACAGCATTTCTGTCCTGGCTGAAGCTTAGTGTGTATATGGCCATTGTATCTGTAGCCATCGTCCTCTCGTTCCACCTCAAATCAGAACCCACACCACTTGGTAAGTCATGGGCTAATTTGTCTGTAACTTGGTGTTGTGCTAAACTCTCGCAGAAAAGCGTTTCGCACTACCGTTGGGAATCATTTTTTGGTTGCTTTCCATGGCGTGCATGCTATCAGGATTATCGAATTATATTCATACTATCTCACGGTATAGTCAGCGGCGGGCATTGGTGCAGACGGGCTGGAAGACGCAGGTCGTTTTCACGGTGGTGTCATGTGCCATTGTTGCGACGTGCATATTGTTCCTCTCAACGAACGCGGAAAAGTGATAGCGGACAAGTAACAGGGATCTCGAACACTTCCGACGCAGTAGATGGAATATCATAATAAATCGTTACGCTCGTGCTGATGTCGCTAAACCAGCATAGTTTATTCTTGTTCTGTTTGCTCATTCCCACTCGAGGCCACGCGCCTATAGACATTTGACTTAATCTGCCTCAAGGATGGCCCATGTCTGGTCGTCAACAGTCGTGTAGATGAGACCACCTGACAACAGATCATCACCAGCCCTCGCAACCTCCGCTGTATCAATACCGAGTTTTGCGGCAATCTCATGCTGGTTCAGACCCTCGTTTGATTGCGGCGCTTCTCTCAGATACTGGAACACCTTCTTCGCTGTCTGATTGTAGCCACCGAGATCATAGCCGCCGTAGCTGCCACCCATGGCTGCTTGCTGCTGTCCACCGGCGCCGTTGGTGGCAGCTGCACCGCCCTGCGCACCGCCAGGAGGTCCGCGGGTGAAGTATAGATGTACGGCGGTCGCTTCGAGTAGGTGGTAGGAAACCTCGTTCATGTCTTGGACGGGTCGGATGACTGTCGCTCCGACAGATCTTCGGTCGTTGAAGCTCTTCAGCTTACCCCATGCTCTGCAGTAAGCACCTTCGACGAGTTTGGCTTTGGTGGGGTTGGTCTGTTCTTGGGCGTCGGAATCGACCCATTGCTTGACTTCTATACTGCCAGTGCCGTCATCGAGCCTGTATGTAGTGTTGGTGGTCTGGTTGGATATGTTGCGTATTTGGCCGACAAATGTGAGCTGGCCAAGTAGTTAGCAGAGGCAGATTGGCCACAGAGGCACGGCACACATACCTGGGTGACTACTGTGCCGTCGATCTTGAAGGCGTCATTACTGCCGGCTTCAAGTTGAGCATCCAGTATCTGCTTGATGGTGACGGGGCGCAGCGTGTCTTGGGCACGGTCTTGTCGACCGCCCGGGCTCTGTGTACTGCCGCCCTCTCCTGGTATGAAGCCGCCTCCACCAGCACCGCCGCCGGCGCCGTAGGATGTGTACGAGGTTTCGTAGCCGTTGTAGCCTGCAGCAGTCAGCGCTGGTGGGTTTATATGAGGGGCCAGAGCTGGGGATGCATACTCATCTCGTGGGCGTGGATTGGTTACGCAATGACAGAAGTTCGGTGTGGGCAAAACGCGTCGGACGCGCCTGCCTCATCGCGGGGCACGTGGAAGCTAGCAGCTAGGTGCGCCGTCTCCATCCCTGCCGCCAAGATTTCGAGAGGACCGTGCCCGAAATTTTCCAAAAGGCAGAGAGGAAGGCGCGACTTCCAGACGTCAGGCAGGTAAAGTGCATCACGTCGCCGACAAGTCCCACCACCGACTCACCCACCATGGCTCCCCGCGCGAGCTCGCCGGCGCTCTCCGAAACCGAGTTCGACATATTCGATGCCCTCGCTGGCGGCGATGATGTGCAGCAAGAGGCGGGTTTGGACGCAGATCTGGGAATAGATCTGGATGTTGGACACGGCGACGGATCCGACGACGAAGCCTTCATTGCCGCCAAACAGGCTGCTTCGAATCGCAAAGCGTCCAATGTAGGAAAGTCCGTAAAGAAGGGCGGAGGTTTCCAGGCCATGGGCCTGAATGCGGCGCTTCTCAAAGCCATTACGCAGAAGGGATTCAAGATACCAACTCCCATCCAGCGCAAGGCCGTTCCGCTCATGCTGGACGGACAAGACGTCGTGGGTATGGCTAGGACGGGTTCTGGAAAGACTGCTGCTTTCGTCATACCCATGATTCAGAAGCTCAAGGCGCATTCTGCCAAAGTAGGCGCTCGCGGAATCATCATGTCCCCCTCCCGAGAACTCGCATTACAGACGCTCAAGGTTGTCAAAGAGTTGGGACGCGGCACAGATCTAAGGACTATCCTGCTTGTTGGTGGGGACAGTCTCGAAGAACGTATGTGCAACACGGTAACATTAATTGGCAGCAACGGCAAGACTAACATGTGCACAGAATTCAGCTCTATGACCACTAACCCCGACATCATCATTGCTACTCCTGGTCGCTTCCTACATCTAAAGGTCGAGATGGGTCTCGACCTGTCCTCCGTCAAGTACATTGTATTCGACGAAGCCGACCGTCTTTTCGAAATGGGTTTCGCAGCGCAACTATCTGAAATCCTGCACGCTCTTCCGGCTTCTAGACAGACACTGCTCTTCAGTGCCACATTGCCGAAATCGCTCGTAGAGTTTGCAAGAGCTGGTCTACAAGAGCCAAAGCTTATCCGTCTCGACGCTGAGAGCAAAATTTCACCAGACCTCAAGAGTGCTTACTTCACAATCAAGTCGGGCGATCGAGACGGCGCGCTGCTGCATCTCCTCGATAACGTCATCAAGGTTCCTGTAGGCGAGACCGACGCAGCAAAGAAGGCCAAAGAAGATGCTGCAAAAGCTGCCAACAGCAAAAAGCGGAAGCGCAGCGACGGCTTCGTCAAAGATGTCCCGGTCGCTGAGTCTACCATCATCTTCGCGGCAACGAAACACAGGGTTGAGTACCTGGCCAATCTTCTTCGCGGTGCAGGATATGCCGTATCTTATGGTACGTAATCATGTGTTGTTGCATTGTGATGTCACTAACATTAAAAGTGTACGGCAACCTTGATCAAACAGCTCGCAAAGAGCAGATTCAGGACTTCCGGATGGGCCTGTCCCGTATACTAGTCGTGACCGACGTTGCTGCCCGTGGTGTGGACATGCCCCATATCAACCACGTCATCAACTACGACTTCCCTTCCCAGCCCAAGATCTTCGTACACAGAGTCGGACGAACAGCCCGAGCTGGACGGAAGGGATGGGCCTACAGTTTATGCAGACATGTCGATCTACCCTACTTGATAGACTTGCAGCTTTTCCTCGGAAAAAGACTATTGGTCGGAAGGTCGAGTGAGGAGCCGAACTACGCAGAAGACTTTGTTGTCGGAAGCCTGGCACCATGGCAGTTGGAGTCTTCCGTTGAGCTTGTGAACAAACAGCTCACCGATGATGAGGACCTAGCGCTACTCCTAAGTGTGGCCGAAAAGGGTGAGCGCCAATACCAACGGACACGCAACCAGGCAAGTGCACAAAGTGTAGCACGAGCTAAGGAGTTGGTGGCATCTCCAAACTTTGCAGAGACGCATATGCTCTTCAGCGACGATGCACACAATACTCAAAAAGCGAAAGAAGATATGCTTGCGAGAATCCAATCATTTCGACCCGCAGAGACTGTATTTGAAATCGGCAAGCGAGGTGTCCAGAGCGAGACAGCCGAGATTATGCGCAAGAGGCGTGAACAAGTTGGACGACAGAAAGCCAAGCAAGCGGCCAACAAACTGGCTACTGGAGACGATTTCGACCCACTTCAGGCACCCTCAAGGGAATCGAATAGCAATGAAGAAGGGTCAGAAGACGAAGTTGAAGTTGCTGATGGAGTATACGACTCAGACTCCGATGAACTGGAGGTGTCCGTCTCACAACCATCATCCAAGAAGTCAAAACAAGACAGCTGGAAGAATGATGACTATTTCATGTCATACCTTCCCAAGGAGAACATGGCAGAGGAAAAGGCCTACGGAGTCAGTGGAGGAGACGCTGGTAACTCGAACTTCGTTACTGCAGCAAGGGCGGCGGAGATGTCACTTGTCAACGATGAAATCCAAGGCTTCGCAGATGCCGCCAAATCCAAGATGCGTTGGGACAAAAAGTCGAAGAAATACGTGAACCGCACCAACGATGAGGATGGATCTAAGGGTGCGAAGATGATTGTTGGAGAAAGTGGGCAGAAGATCGCGGCCAGTTTCCGCAGTGGTCGCTTCGACGACTGGCGCAAGGCGAACAAGGTCAAGATGCCTCGCGTGGGCGAAATGGAAGCCCCCAACAGGTCTGCATCATCCTTCAATAACGCCCCGCGCTACAAGCACAAGGCCGAGAAGGCTCCGAAGCAGGCTGATCGGTACCGCGATGATTATCACGTCCAGAAAAAGAGGGTGGCTGAAGCGAAAGAGAAGCGCGTCGGTGCATGGAAGGATGGTGGCGCCAAGAGCGAACTTCGAGATGTGGATGCTGTTCGCAAGAACCGCAAGGTCCAGGAAAATCGCCGAGCAAAGAATGCTCGTCCGTCCAAAAAGCGCAAGTTTTGAGTTCATTGAATCAATACCCGGGCCTTATGCCCAGCAACATGAATCGATTATGAAGTTTTCTCAGGCACGTGTCAGTGAACTAAATTCCGTGTAATCCATTATTTTTCGCGGACCGAGGTGAAAACAATCCGATTTGACAGCTGTACGACGTGGCGACTAAAAGAAATCGAGTTAGACTTAGCAATTGGCCAGATCTCGATATTTGTGCGAAGAAAGGCCGTTGTGACCCGCAAGGTCAGGCCATGTTTGCTTCTCCAGAGCCCGCGTCCCCGTCGGTTCTGTGTAACGCTCGATGTTGGACGACTGTCATTGCTTTGCTGTGCCACATAGGTGCGGATTGGCGAAAGTTTATCGGGGGGCCCTGCGACATGGCAGTGGGCGAGCATCCTGCCCTCCTCGGACAGCGCGCGTATTGACTCGATAGTGGCTTTTTGTGCGCATCGTCGTGGTCGACGAGATTCAAAGGTTAACATACGAGTATCCAGTGCGACGCAGTCCCTTTTTGTATCGACTCGATCAAGGTTTATTTGCTGGCTTTATGGCTACCACCAGTTTGTTCAAATCGGGACTGACAAGCTGCAAGTCAGTCCGTAGCTAGAAACTATGCACACGCTGTCGGCTGGGATAGAGTTGCCGGCGTCTATTGACGTCGGGTAGTGTTGACACTGACAGGCGATCGCGTATAGTCCGCGTATTGGGTGAGCGCCTCGAATCTCACGCCATTGAGATTAAGGTCCGAAGCAGGGATAGGGGCCTCTTCGGGTAGACAGCCAATGCTCCTTGTAGAGGCACGTCATTGCTTGAGGAGATTTCTGTGAGCCGGGACGAGTGTTCCCCACTCATCGCAATGTAAGGGTGCACCAGCCCTGTTTAGTGCCAACGCCGCCAGACTTCAATAATCCTTCTGCACGCGCGCACCTGCGGCTTACCCGACGACTTTCCAGAAGCCGCCACAGTTGTTTTTCTGCATGGTCGCACATGAGCGCGTTTTGCCATGCGATGGTGGGATGCGTGGCGTGTTGAGGATAGCCGCTTTCTTTTTTCTGCGCCCGGAGATTCGGTCGCCGTGCTGCGTCACGCAGGGCACAGCATCAGGAACATTGTTTCACGTCAACGGCTTTTTGATACTCGAGAGGGCTCAAATCGGACGAAACCAATCTCGCTGCGAAGCTCCTTGTGGGTTTCGATGAAAATCATCCGCCTGAACCAGCCATTTGCGCACCAACGGCTGCGGCGTGGCTTCTTCGGAGAGGCGCAGTCTGGGCTGTGGGCCATGGCCATTCGGGTGGATGTATGCGTAGTCACATTCCATATATCGGTAAACGGCTCTTGGGTATTGATAGAGCACTTTACCGGACGGAAATTTCTCGCTCCGTTGCGGGCCTGATCAAACTACCTAGGTATGTCGAGGGGTGAGCGAATCCTGCAGGGCTTGCACTCGCTTGCCCTACATCACGAGACGCTGCAGGTTGCCTGGGAGGTGAGCCTGAGTCGCATTCGCGGAGTGGAGTAACAAGAGGCACACGAGAGGTATATCATTATCAGGTTTGAGTTGGACTCCGAGGAGACCTGTTGGGCACTGAGACCAGCCAGGGAGCTGCTCGGCCCGCACCCAGTCGCAAATCGACAATGGGACCAGCGACGGGCAAGTATGCAAGGACCACAGGGGAGACGGAGAGGCCAGCGAGGGTCCCTTGTAGCGACTACTTTTGGCACAACGTGTCCTGAGCACCGGTTCGTAGATCCCGCCCGCAGGCCTGTCGTGATATTCGGGTCCTGGACAAGCGGCTGACTCGGCGCTCAACAGCTCAACATTTTACGACAACAACGCGAATTGCTCGCAGCGCAGCTCCAGGAGACGTCTCCATCTGTTCGCAGATGATCTCGTCAGGGTTGGCATTAATCACGGAGCTCGACAATGACAGCTGAATCAGCGAAACGGCAGGGCCCGCCGGGAAAGGACATGAATCCCGAGACCCTGGACAGGCCGTTATGCGCATGCCGTAGCTTCGGGGAACCGTAATGAGAGATGAGAGTAATCTACAGGCGATATAAGACCTGCTGTTAACGTCGAAATATCCGCTATCTATGATTATTTTTGGACCTCAGCAATCCTCGACGAGGCTAAATGCAAGGTCTAGTCCTGGGCTTTCGCGTTGGCTTGTCGGTTGGATTTATATTTTCCGCGATTGGGGCCAATCATGACCCACTCGAAGCTGGGCGGATGCGACACTTCTTACAGTGTGGATTTTCTTTGCTTCGGCCGTAATGCTAGTCATTGTACGATCCGGATGACCTGCCCCGGCGAAGGAAGAAGAAACGCTCATGCAGGACCCAGTCTTGACTCATGCCCCCTGCGGCGTGATCTCGGTTCAGGCCGCAGAGAGCAGAGTGAACGTGTGCAGACATGGTTTACTCGCGAGCACGTTGAGCCCCTGCACATCCAAGGTGATGGGATATGTGCAAAGCCCTGTGGCTGCAGATCGTAAATATTGAAGTTATTAGACAATTACAAATTGTCATGATGGGTATTACGGTGGGCGATATTCAATGCTCTTGCAAGGATGAGTTATTCCCAGCTAGTGTAAAAGATATACACACCCACCTCTGCCGTAGACGCGGCATCGATCTTCACGGCAGTCGGCTCAGCTTACCGCTATTCCGCGTTGGGGTCAAGCATCACCGGTGAATATGGCTTTCCTCCGTGGTGCAGCATCAGAAGTTTGCCCTGCCGCAGTCGCCGTTCCACCTTCTCGATGCGAATGTACGGTTGGCTAGCCGTCATAAAGAAGTCGGGGCACTAATGTTGGTGCCGTTACTCCTACACCTGGCGGCAGCGACGTTGATGCCTCATCTTAGCAAAATCGACAACCCGTCATCATATGCTTGGCTAGCTCTGATTACATTCACACTGCAATATGTGTGGTACCGCCAACCCAGGCTTCGGCTGCACATCGTCAATGCTGCGCACACTCCAATAGCACGAGCAATATCGGCGGTCATGCCGTCGTGGCTCGGACAGTTTGCGGGCAGATCGTCGACAGCGCCAGCGCGTTCGATCGATATACCCACCGGAGTATTTTATGTGTGCTATCCCAATGCGACACGGCCGAGACCTATAATGGATGCATGATATACCTCTGGCTTGTTTTGACGTCTGCACTATGACTACGCTTTGCCCTCAGCACTGGATGCCACGTCTAAGCACACCACTTCGGGCGGCTGGAACGCTGGACCGGCCATGTTTCTGCAGGTCGAGAGGATCGACCCAAATGCACCGAGTCCGCTGTTTGACCTCTTATGCACTCATCGCTGGGCATGCAGAAGAAGGTACTAAGCGTATGCGCCACATTCTGACATCTACAAAACACACTCTAGCAGCGACTACGGGAGGAGAGGCCAGCGGATGCAACCTACCGTCGCTTGCACGTTCTGACCCAGAGCACTTTGCATCTGCCAGATTCATCACCCGCGCCATACAAGCTTACAACGCCAGCGCCAGCGATATGCCACTAGACGTAGCGTGTCGCATGACAAGCAGTACATTCCACAGATGCGTCGACTGATGATACTTTCCGCAGGGTGACGTCCTTGCAGGAGGGGAGCTGATGACGACTTGCTTTTAGGGAAAAGAGTGACTTCAAACAATGCATCGACGGGAAACTCCACATAAAGGCGTCGTCGTGTCAGCCATATCCGCAACAAAGGCGTCGATCTGCAGCATCGGATGTGTATCCAATTTTTGTTAGCAGCGATAGAGTTTGCGCCAGCTGAGTGCGTCATCAGAGCGCAGTCTGCAGTGGTGCTTTTGTCGCGACAGCAAGACCCTGAGCAAGCTTTCCCCGGCAGTCCATGCAGCGCAGCCGCTACGAGGCGAGATGTTCCGCTGCGACCGTCGGTCGGTGCGAAAAGACCTGCGAGGCGATCAATGCAGTGGTTGGTCTGAAGGGTCCGGAAGCGCGACTGACAGTGACAAGCGTCTTGATAGTGCACCAGAACCGCGGGCCTGTCAGTGGGAGCCACATTTTCGCAATGCTCACCTCATGGATGCTGGTGGCAGGATTCGCCTGGGTGAATATAACTTCCTTCCTTTACAGTTGCTAGCTGCCCATTTGGTATCCTCTCTGCGGCGCCATGGTTGCCGGATAGGGTAAGAAAAGGCAATTTCTGGGTCGCACGTAAGCGCACGCCGAGGATTAAGGGCGCCGACTTATGCTATGCTTCAATTGAAAGTTTGCCTGGGCGGCTGCAAAACAATGGTGCAATAGCGCGCAGAAGCGCGACCATATCTCGTTAGCACACCCCGGTTCGAGGACGGTGCGGAAGACAGGGGGTTGAGCGGCCTCTGACAAGGCTCCCCAACCCGCACCGCCCATGCACGCTTTCAACTGGCGGCCGTGCATGTGTGATTCCGCGGGTGCATCGACCGACTGGGAAAATCGGCCTAGCAGAAATGTCGAAGAACCATCAGCCGAACGAGGGAAGCATGTAGCTGTCCCCGAGACGCATCCTTCCCTGCTCCCGTTGCCCGGAACTCATCGTGGCCCCCTTCTCCTGGATGGCCCGCCATGCACCACTTGACAGGGATTTAGCAAAGATCTGTGAGTAGAATCTCCATAACCGATTGTGGTTATTACTGGGGAATGTCCGCCGAATGACAGACGTCTGCTCTGGTCCTTGACGAGTTGCCATCCCAAACCCTCATTGGTCCCACCGCATACAACACCACCACCTCGCCTCTTCTCTTCCTCGCCGCCCCATCGCCTGCAGCTACAATCGAGACCAGCCTGATACTCATTCGACATCTTGTCCATTCTAAAGTCGGAACCATCCAGAGGCTGAATAGCTATCGACCCCTTCCGAAGACTATCAAAAGGTATTTTCATGTCTCCCTTTTGCCTCTCACCCCGTCTTCTGCTTCAGATTCTTCATGCCTGGCACGATGCCGCCACCTTGCATTGGAACCTTTTGGGCATTTGTAATTATCGTGTTGGCCAATATCCAACCCTGAGGGAATGCCCTATGTCTGGTCATTGTCTTGATCTTCTCCTCGCTTGTGCACTAGCTTACCTTGGACGCCATGCAGGCCTCATCATACAGCCACGCCAACATCTCCGTACTGTGCCCTTTCTTGCTTCGCAGTCCGAAGGGCATCGTGCGGGGCCGCACACTTATTCGATCCTGCCATACCTCTAACCATTGTGCTCCCGCTGCTGACGCGGCGTCTGAGCGCGCGGTGGTCAAACTATGCAGAGCCTGGTATTACCTGGTCCGACCTCACTCCTCTCTACGCCATTCGGGCGGCATTCAGAACCTGAAGACGGCCTTGCCAAGTTCCGGTCAAAGTTCAGTCCTAACAGGCTTGAGCACCAGGGCTACCCGTCTCCGCCCATGTCCGAATCTCATTCCCCTTCTCGACGACCAGCACAGTCTGTTGAATCTGCACGCCTCTCTTACCCTCCGCTGGCAGGCACATCCCAAAGACAGGATAGTTTGACTCAACCGCCGATTCTACCATCAGTATACGATCCGCGGTCTACGTCGGCTGCGCATGCTCTTCCTCTGCAGCGAGCACCTTACCCTGGGGAACCCCAGCACAGGGGCCAAGGGCTTCACTACCCGCCTGGACGTCCTCTCGAGCACCAACCTTACTCCCATGCCATTCCTCACAACTACGGCTATGGCTACCAAAATCCTGGCCTGCCCCCTTACGCTGGAGTTCAACACCCAGGACCTATGGTGCAGCAAGGCGCAATGATCGCACCTCCACCGGCAAGGCCCACTAAGCCAGCGCGAAGAACTAAAGCACATGTGGCGTCGGCTTGTGTTAATTGCAAGAAGGCGCATCTCAGCTGCGACATTCAACGCCCTTGCGGTCGTTGTGTCGCTTCTGGAAAGCAGGTCAGTATCTTTACTCCGCAACAGAAGCTCAACATAGCGAATGCCTCGCAGAACAGAATTAACGCGTCTAACAGGACACCTGCAAAGACGTGCAACATAAAAAGAGAGGAAGGCCACGGTTAAGAGACGATAGGGAGTTTACTCGGCCAGAAGACGGAAGGCCACCACCTACCCAGCTTGTGGGAGCGCCACCTACCTCCGAACCTCACGCACATCAGCCGACGTACCCCTTGTCTCAGCCATATCGAACCTTCGAACCTCAACGAGTTTTGGAGAGTACTACCCATCAAAAAGAGCCTCATTCAGCTGCATCTGCACCCAGAGATACAGCCGGCGAGTACAGTGGAGTACAAGCGCCTCCCTTTGGCGCGGGACCGAACATGGCGTACCAAAAGCTTCCTGTCGTTTACCTAAATTTGGATCTGGTGATACAAAAAGCAAACCAAGCTTTTGCAGACCTTGTGTCGTTCCTCGGAGACATCAGGGGTAAACATCTTGGCGATCTTCTAGAAGCTCAGCAAAACGAAAGCATGCAGCGTCTGCGAAACGAGCTGCGCGATGAGCGTGATGAACGTGAGCCGACGTACATGGCGCCAATTACTCCGATTGGACAAGATCCTATGCGCGCCGTGATGGACACTGTCGCAGATCACGACATAGATCATTTCACCCAGGGCTATACGAACAGGTCCATGTTCCTTAGCTTCCGCCTCCCGAGTAGTGGACAGTATCAGTCTCTGCAGGTCCAGATTCGGCTTGCTAGAACGTCTCTTTACTTCGTGACTCTAGTCGTTTGCTCACCGCCGAGGCACACGGGTCCGACTCTTCTAACGCAGCAATTAGCTACTCCAACCGCAAGGCATACTCCACAGACGATGTCTGTGCCGTCAATGGCTCCCGTCACGCAGTACACGCCACATCAAGATCGACGAACATCGACGAACAGTTCTGCACCGAACTCCCCCTTTTTCAACTTCTCGTCAATCCGAACATCTCTTCCTACGTTTAGTCCTAGCTCCTACAAGAGCAGTCCATCACATGGCTACTCCCCAACTGGAGGCCCGGAATCCGGGTACTTTCCCACATATCAGGGACCTCCACAACCCACAACAAGCGCATATCCTTCGCCATACGCGCAAAATTCTCGGCCGTCAGCAGGGACGTCGGAACCTCTGCGGGAGCTCAATCGCCCTCCACGTCTCGAGGGGCTGCACCTACCGCCTATCCGAACAGGGCCGGCACCTCTGGGCTCACCACTACACGTCGAAACAGGTGCTGGTGCCTCGGAACGCGAACGTGTGCGACCACGCGACTCTCCTTCGAGTAGCGCCGAACAGCGGAGGCCTGAATCGCCTGAGACGGGTAAGCGGCGGCGTCTGAATATACATGAGGTGCTGGACTAAGGTGGTAGGAGGCAGGAAGACGAGCAGCAATGCGTTCCTGAGACGGAACTGAGGAAGATGACATGGTACGTGGGGCATAAGCGGCGGGGTTTTTGCGGAAAAGAAGGGACCATGTGTTTCCAAGAAGCGGCTATGGTATAAGGGTACCGAGGGACGGGTTCCCTTGTCTGACTGAAACTCGGCGCATTCGAGCGGGATGGCGCATGTTGCACACGGACAACGACATGGACTAGCCCTTGCTTTCATACTTATTTCGTCATCGCTCTTGGATGCATTTTCTGCGTGTCTATGGTTTGCGTTGCATTTCAGGCGTTACCACTTGTCTTTCTGTCTTTTTCCTGCAACAAGTCATAAGCTGGGAGCTTGCCCACTCAATTTTGTTGCGTATCGCATCTTGCTCTTTCTGTTGCTTCCTCTTGACGCAATTAGCATGGACACACCATCTGGCTTCGGCTTCTGTTTCAATATAGTCGCATGTCCTGGCGTCGATACCACAACACGTTGTTTGACTGTTTGGTCATCTGGAGCGTTCGTTCTTCTTATATTTCCCTAGACGTCGCTCTGGGCTATCTCCGCAATCTTCTATCTTAGCATTCGTTGTCTAAATCTTCCACGTCCTGTACCACAGGTGATCCGTGCCCTCGCGTTGGTGTTTCATCATCATCCGACGAGTCGGGTGCTGCTCGCATGACAATCCGCATTTGTAAATAACAGACATTTGTGCGCTCGATCGATGGTCAGAAGTCTGCGAGAGGATTAAATGTTCCCGTTTGTTCTTTAAAGCGAAGCAGTAAGGAGATTATTCTGAGGTTAAGAACACGTCGTGCAGGTTAAAGGCGCGGTCTTGCCTGAGGGTCCAGAGGAGGGAGATCTGCCTCCAGGTGCTGAGCAGTTCCATGAACATTGGATCAACACCACATATATACAGGAAACTGGAGTCTTGGACTGGTGGCCTTTAGGCCTGGGAAATGATCAAGGACGATGGTCACGTTCGATCTGAGCATTTCTATTCTTGGAATCACATTCAACATTCAACATATCTTTCTCTCTTTCGATAAGAGAACCACGGATACAAGTCCGGAAGTATATATAAACAGCGGTGAGCAAACGGCAGCCTGGCTGTGCTCTAAAGATAGTGTGTGTGGGGGTTGGGGAATTATTGGCTGCTAGGCCAGTGGAGGATATACCCTTTTGTCGCATTTTCGTTCAAGGCCGTCGAGAAACAACGGAAGTTGGACGTAGTATAAGACATAGTAGTTTCTGTTCCCATATAGGAATACAAATGTGAGAAAAAGAGAGACCTGTGAGTCCCTCTCTCACGAGTCTTTTGTTGTTCAGAGTACGTTTTTCAAAGTGCCATATAACATGGCGCTCTTGTCCACTATCTGTTGAGGCGTGTGTCGTGGTACAAGCCTCGAAATGTGAAACAGCTACTACGGGCTGGCGAAACTCTAATGATGTGACGAACACCGTGTTCGCGAGTTCCGCCTACCAGAGGCGACGGAACGTGACACAAGCCTGTGGTGGAAATGAGGATACTGGCGTCCGAATTGATGAAATATAGCGTGGGCACATTCAGGTTAATAATGCAAGATGCTTGTTGAATATGCAATGTTAAGAACAAATGGGTATCTTGGTTATGAAAGTACAATTGGAAGAAAATGACCTGTCTTGTCAAGGCCTGAACGCGGTCAACAGAGGACTGGAAGCGATCATCCCAAAGCCTTCATCTTCTTCTTTTTCTTCTTTGCGCCGTCAGCGGGCTCTGGCTTCTTTCCCTGCTGGTAGTCCCTCCAGCTGTTGATGCGCGTATCCCTAGTCTTCTCCCAAGCTTCCTCTTGCTCCCTCTTCCTCTTGCGCTCCTTAATCTCCTCGTCTTCCTTCCTCTGTGCACGTCCCTCTTCCCTCATAGCGGCCTTGATTTGCCTCTGCTTCCTCATCTCGTTGTCTCTGATGACCCAGATAACCTTCTGCCTCCACTCTTTCGCAAACTCGTCGCCACGTGTCTCTTCATCGTCAGCCGTGAGCTTCTTCTCTCGCATGAGCAGCATGCGCGCATCAGCAATGTTCTCGTCTAGCTCTGCGCGCAGCTTCTCGTCGAGTAAGACAGTCTGGGCTTTCTTGAGACGGTCAAAGGCATCGGGGGCGAGCTCGTTCTTGGTCTTGTCAGGATGAATAAGGAGGGACTTGGCGCGGTAGACTTTCTTGATGTCGGATTCGGGGACACCGGGCTGGAGATCGAGGACGGCGTAGGCATCGAGACTGAAAACACTACGGATGCCTGTGTTTGTTAGCATGGGATTCTACTATAGTAAAATGAATATGGTCAAGTCAACTTACGGTCAATCTCAGCGTCCTTGTCAAGCTCTTTGCCGAGGCCCGCGAGCTGAGCATCGATATCGTCGTCGGCCATGGTGAATGTATGGACGCGTTGTATTGGTTCGGGTATAGACGGGTTGGAGGTGGGTATATTGTTGTTTGAGCGTGAATCCCCGCGGCGAAGCGCACGGTCCACCAAAGCCCAAGTTCTCCACCAAAAAGTTCTCTCGCGATGCGCCAACCAGCCTCAACACCGAAGCAAGGCGAAGACGAGGTAGTGCGCTGAAATGGTTGCATCTGGATTCACCGGTCGCACGCGACCTACCAAGGTCAAGAAGAGGGAGAACCTCAAGAAGAGGACGCGCGACGATGTAGATGTCGCCAAGCTGGACCAGGCTGTCCAGGCACTGGTATGTATGCAGCGACTTACACGAGACAGGCAGCGCAGCAAAGTAACCGTATACAGGACCCCAAGCATGGCGCTTACAAAGACTTTACCGACCTCCCGCTTTCCGACCCAACCAAGCAAGGCCTCAAATCGTCGCATTTCGCCGTCATGACAGATGTCCAGGCAAAAGCCATACCGCTGGCCCTACAGGGACACGACATTCTTGGTGCCGCCAAGACTGGCAGCGGAAAGACACTCTCCTTCATCGTACCTGTGCTAGAGAATCTGTACCGACATCAGCACATTGGCCCCGACGCTGGCTTGGGCGCCTTGATCCTGTCCCCGACTCGAGAACTCGCTATCCAGATATTCGATGTCTTGCGCAAGATCGGACGACATGGACACATGTTTGCGGCAGGTCTGCTGATCGGAGGAAAGAGCTTGCAGGATGAGAGGGAGGCACTTACCAAGATGAACATTCTCGTCGCAACACCGGGCCGTATGCTACAGCACCTGTCGCAAACAGCAGCCTTCCAGGTGGACGACTTGAAGATGCTGGTGCTGGATGAGGCAGATCGCATCCTTGACATGGGCTTTCAGCGCGACGTCGACGCCATCGTTGAATATCTTCCCAAAGAAAGGCAGACGCTGCTCTTTTCGGCTACACAGTCAAAGAAAGTCTCCGACCTGGCTCGCTTGAGTCTTCAGGACCCCGAATATGTATCTGTACACGCCGAGGACAAGAGCGCGACCCCCAAGGGGCTTACGCAAAACTACATCGTTTGCCCGGTTGAGGAAAAGTTGGACACTCTATGGAGTTTCATACAGGCGAGCAAGAAGTCCAAGATTCTTTGCTTCTTTTCGTCTGCAAAGACTGTTCGATTCGTCTACGAAGCTTTCCGTCACATGCAGCCTGGTATACCACTTCTCCATATCCACGGTCGTCAAAAACAGGGAGCTCGACTTGATACAACGGCAAAGTTCTCTGCCGCGAAACATTCTTGCCTATTTGCGACAGATGTCGCAGCTCGAGGACTAGATTTCCCAGCAGTTGACTTCGTGATTCAAGTTGATTGCCCGGACGACGTCGATACCTACATCCACCGTGTCGGCCGAACAGCACGGTACAATCGCGAGGGACGCGGAGTACTGTTCTTAGCACCAAGCGAAGAGGAAGGCATGCTCAAGCGCTTGGAGGCTAAGAGAGTGCCTGTCGAGATGATCAACGTACGACAAAAGAAGCGTCAATCAATCAAGGACCAGCTACAGAACATGTGCTTCCAGGATCCAGCTCTCAAGTACCTCGGTCAGAAAGCATTCATGACGCACGTCAAATCGATATATCTCCAAAAAGACAAAGAGGTGTTCAAGCTCAAGGAGTACAATTTGGAAGCATACGCGGCTAGCTTGGGTCTACCGGGAACGCCAAAGATCAAGTTCTTGAAGGATGACAACAGCAAGCAGAGGAAACAGGCATCAAGGCAGATGATTGAAGTTTCAGACTCTTCGGACGCTGAAGAGGCTCCAAAGGCAGACAAACCTGTGCGAACCAAATACGATCGCATGTTCGAGCGAAAGAACCAAGATGTTCTGGCAGAGCATTACCAGAAGCTGGTCAGGGATGGAGACGACGAAGCCCCTGCAGATGAGTTCAGCGGTGCCGGAGCGACGAATAATGCCGCCGACGACGACTTCATGGCCGTCAAAAGACGGATTCCAGCTGATGACGATTCGGGCGATCTCGACTCTGACAAGGCTCCGAATGTCCCACCAGGCGGTCGACTTGTTCATATTGCTGGTGCTTCTCAACCAATTGTTGTCGACAGCAACCGCCGCGAAAAACTCCTGCAATCGAAGAAGAAGCTTACCAAACTTATGGACAAGGGCAAGAAGCTCGTCTACGACGACCAAGGTAACCCGCACGAGATCTACGAACTCGAAGATGAGGAGCAATGGCGCGCCAAAGGTCTACCAGAAGAGCAACGTCAAAAGTTCATTGAAGCAGCACGTGAGGTCGTTCAGACCGCCGATGTCCAGGATAAGGCGACCGCGAAGGCGAAGAGGAAGGAGCGAATGCTCAAACGCAAAGAAAGAGAGAGGGCTGAGTTGGCTGGTGAAGGTGGTGAGGATGCGGGTGTCGAGCTTCCTGATCCAGGTGAGGACCTTCTGGCCAACTTTAGGGCGGACGCAGAATACAGCGATGAAGACGAAGAAGAGCAAGAAGAGCAGCCGAAGAAACAGAAGAAGTGGTTCCAATCTGATTCCGAAGATGAAGAGAAGACCAAGAAGAGGA